TTAAAAAATAGACAGTTTGGTAATAGTCTGCATGGTAATAGTGATAAATGGGGACAGATAGATACTAGACCAATTATTTTGTTGATGCAAATCATACTTTTTTTCTTGCTTCTGGGCAACAAAGCTTCATTTATCAGTTTATGGATCCCCTAAACTGTTGTATTGTACTCAGGTGACCGTTGAGGCCCTTGGGCCTCTTGTTTAAGAGATGAATAATTTTTGTTTTCAGTCTTAATTTCAGTTTAAAGATTCAAGATAAGATATAAGGTGCTTTCTGCATCTTCAGGGAATCTAAAAATCTGTAACTCCATGAGTAATTTAGCAAAGAGGTCTATATGATGAAGCTTAGAGGCAGCATTGAATATCACTATGTGCATAAAAAGAAACGACATGTATTTATTGTGACATTTATGCTTGCTATTCCGCGAAAGCAGCAGGGATGGGGTCAATTACTTTAAAAAGTAATTAATTAAATTACAATTACTTTGACTTTTTCTTCAATTAAATTACAATTAAAATACAGGTTTTCTAAGACATGTAATTAATTTAATTACAATTACTTTGCAAAAGTAATTAATTAAATTACAAATTACATTTTTAATTTTTTTGAAAATTTTTATAATCCTTGTCAATGAATATACAAAACATCATTTATTTGTATATAAGCTCAGCCTCTGCACAAACAGTACAAGAAATAATATGCTACATGTATAGGCATTGTGTATCATTCTGGTTTAATTTATAACATTTATTTACAAAACAATAAGAATCTCTTAAAGAACTATCCAAGATCAGTTTGATGCAGTTTCCACCACACAAAACCTACATGTACAGAAATTGCATGGCTTATGATATTTGATTAAAAGTGAGTATTTTAATAGAGTGAAATGAGTCGCAACTGCAACCCCTCAAATTAAATATTTCCTTTGAAGGTAACCTGAACATCCTAAATTGCAATTTTACTTCATAAATAAGAATTGTACAGACAGAAAATTCTTTCATAAAAATCTGTTTTTATGTTAAAATAATTATCAAATTGAAAGTTTTTCTTTTCTAAAGCTAGCGGAGCATTTTAAATTGAAATAATTATCTCCATTGGCTTTGTCTTCTAAATCATGGAATGAATATCTCTTTGGAGGAGTTGATTTGTTTTGATTGCAATTTAAAGCTGTGATCTGGAGGGCAATTATCTCTTCCCAACAAAAGAGAACTTAATTAATGACACACACCTTCTTTATCTTTATTATCCCCTCGCGCAACTAGTTGCGGAGGGGATATAGCATCGCTACTGTGCGTATGTGTGTGTGTTAGTGTGTTAGTGTGTCCGTTACAGCTTGTGGGCAAGATTTAAAGAGAACCTTTGCACTATCATTTCTCAGCCTTCACATACTTATGTGGCATTGTAAAAGGACGAACCCTATTCATTTTCAAGTTAATCGGTGAAATAGTTCTTAAAATATCGCATTTTTACTACCTTCAAACCCTGCAATTTTGTGTACGAGTTGACAATACTCACTTCCGGTAAATTGGTTAAAATTCGGGTCGTTTCGATAGAGCCGCTTCTTAAGTTCTACTTTGTATTTGCGTATTGTCATATTATTGTGCGTGTCTTGAGAAAGTTTGTATGAATTAAAAGTGTTATCTCTGTCACCGAGTAACTGAAATAATTTGATGAACGTCGCAGTTTCAATACCAAATTACCACACGTGTGTGTTTACAATAGGGGCCTGAGGAATTCATTGACATCTAAACACCGGTATATTGTCATTTTTCACTACAAAAAATTATTACTTCCGTGCGTATTTTCAGATTTGATGCATATTGCATGCTACTGTGAGGTTTACCCGGATAGGTAAATTAATGAAATTTAGAGCATACGTGATATGTTTCTGCTAGGAATAAGGGAATCTGCCCAATCACGTATGCTTGTTATGACCCAACCTCCTCCTCCCCCCCCCCCCCCCATGATACAGTGTATGCACCTTGACTTTTGTTAAAATTTAACTAGTATTGCAATACATTTTAATTTCTTTACCTTATTATAAACTTCATATAGTAATACTGGATACCCTTGATTACTAGGCCTAGATGAGTGTATCTTGTTTAACGTCCGTTTTGAGAATTTTTCTCGTATATGGAGACATTGCCATTACCGGTGAAGTTCCTGGCGCGAGGGGATGCTCCGCTTAGCGGTGCTCTTGTTATTGATCAAACAACAAAGATTGAAATATGATAAATGTGTGTTTCACAGCTGAATAGACCTAAGAAGGGTGGTTCAAAATTCATATTTATAAATATAGATTAAAAAATTCAAAATTTACATAATGATTAGAAAGAAACTAGTTTATTATTATCAAGCCAATCATTTAATTATTTCTTGTAAACATTAACCTAAGATTTTGTATAATTGAAGGATTGAGGATATGTTTAACAAGAAAATAAAAATCAGTAAAATGGGTAGGTAGTGGTGACGATATATCATGAATATATCATGAATGTGTATTATATAAAGTAATTGAATGTAATTGAAAAAGTAATTGAAATTACATGGTATTTTTTCAGTGTAATTAATAAAATTACAATTACAAGTAATTGAAAAAATGTTCAATTACAAATTACTTCCAATTACTTCAAAAAATGTAATTAATTACAGTCAATTACAATTACTTTTTTCAATTACCCCATCCCTGGAAAGCAGGCTTTATAACAAACAGTTCTGGGACAAAAGGCAAAGTTTTACGTTTTTTTTTTACTTCTTGGGGGTTTTGGGATCGAGGGGTGAGTTCTAAATTTAGCGAGGTTTAACATGGTTTGCGAAACTTCAAAAATATTCTATGGTGAGCAAACGTTTATTTTTTGAAAAGCTTTTGAAATATTTGGATAAATCGAAATGTGTACGGAATATCCAGAATATTATTTCCTGGATCAGATGGTAAGATTTGCATCAAAAGATCTGTCAAATCACAGGAGTCGGTGAATCTATTTCATAACAATATTTTCAGTAATACGTCATGTATGCCTATAGATTATAGTGATGGAAATCGAGAGGATTTTAAAGAATTATTTGGATTCTAGCTTCAAATTATGAGATTTCGACTCGAAATACAGTAAGATCACGCGTAATATTATGTGCATATGCATAATAGTTATGAGCATGTACATGTAATTCAGAATTTTTTTTTTGGCATGTTTAAGGTCAATTCATTTCAAGATTGTATTGGTTGTTTATGAAACATTTCATGATTAATATTTATTGCAAGATTTCTAATTTTCTATGTTTTTATGGAAAGTACATTTAACTTTTTACCAGTTATGGGTTAATGACTTAGCTGGAACTGGGCGTGTTAAATGGCCTCAGTTGATAGATCAATCACATGTAATTATAGAGGACGAAAAGTGTAGTTATATGACATATGCGGTAAAACAATAAATTTGAAATCAAATACATTAAGTTCAAATATGTATTTCTACTTAAATTTTGATTCGAAAATACTTAGTATGTAGACTAAATTCTGTACAAGCAGTCTCTTAAAAAAACATAACCTGACATCAACACAAAAATATATTAACGAGTAATCGACAATCGTTCAACTATAAAGTATCCAACTATTCGATCGAGTAAGCTATTCGAGTGAATTTGACATCCCTACTTCGCCATCACCAAGAGTGCAACTCCCTCCATGTCAACGGGGAACCTCTCTGTTATCATGGTTAATATCGAGGGAGCCACGCAATCTATCTTTTAGGAAAGAGACATTCTTTTAACGTATTTAAGCATTAGCTTTGAAACGCTCGTTTAAGAATGGTAGCGGTGGTATTTCTCCACGACTTCGTTAAAATATTTACAAAATTTGTGTATTGCTTTAGTCACTCTCTTGTTTAATGCAGGTAATAATATTAAGAACATATTTTGGATGAATTTAAATAGTAAACCACCTAGCGTGCTCAGTGGGTTTAGATAGTTTTCAGTAGGCCTAAATTAGCAAGAGTTATTACCCGTTGGCCGCCATATTGGAGGTCAACATACCCATATTCCCTTCATTATATAACCAACTTTAACTTTTTATACTGGCCATTGTGGGTTAGGAAGCATTGTTTTTCTGAAAAATATACATTTGTTAAAGCCTCCTTTGTGTCATACTTTTTATTCTATATCGATTTTTCCCCAAAATATTTCTGCTACACCCTCTTAAAATTGGAAAGACAGGGGAAAAATTATACCAGGTTGACCACCAAGATGACGGCCAAGGGAAATAACTCGAAGAGAAAATACGTCATATGAAAACTATCTATATAGCAAGTTGATAAATCTTGTAAAATTGGTGTGTTGGTTAAGAATACATTAAGAGATAGTTTTATCCAAGACTGGAATGTAAATGTATTAAATTCTCCAAAATGCCTTAATTATAGAATGTACAAGTGTGATTTTGGTTTTGAAAATTATCTGAACATGTTACCAAATGATCTTGGATTATATTTGTGTAAATTTCGTTGTGTCAGTCATAACTTGCCAATTGGAGCTGGTAGATTTTATAGTATTGATAGATCTGAGAGACATTGTAACCTCTGCAATAACAATGAACTTGGTGATGAGTTTCATTATTTATTTAAGTGTCCTGTTTTTAAGAATGAAAGACAGAAATTTATACCTAGCAATATTTACACAAATCCAAACGCAACATCTATTTATGATTTGATGAATACTTCTGATATTTATGAACTAATAGGTTTAGCTGAGTTTTATAAAACTGTTCTTAAATTATTTCATGCCTGAACTTCCTACAATGTAAACATTAAACGATTTTTTTATACAACCGTCAGTACTGTCCATATCAAAGATCATTTTGTAGTTCATTATGTTAACTGTTCACATGTTGATTTGTTCAATTGTTAAACTCTTATTGTACTAACATACCCCATGTGGGGGCTTTAGTGAAAATAAAAGTTTCAAGTTTCTATATAGCTAAAGCAGGAATGTATGATCATTCTTTTCTTTTCAGATGATTTTTCCCAGAACTGCAAGACAACACAAAACGGAGCGGATTATTATGGGTCAACCTATATGACCAAATCTGGAGATCTGTGCAGGTATTGGTCGGATACATCTTATCGAAATCACGCTTACACATTTCTTGGGGATCATTTTAACTTTTGCCGGAACCCGTTTGGAGAAGAGGAAGCTCCATGGTGTTATTCAGGGACAAGCTGGGACTACTGCAATATTTCCATGTGTTAATAGACACCATTTTAAGAACTGACAAATTGTGAATTTATGGAATGCTGGAGGGTAAAGATCATGAGCACAAATATTGAAAAAGAGCCACTATGTACCAGTACATTCTACATTATTACCAAAAAGGAGAAAATGTCATTAATTAAAGAAATTCAAGCATACATGATCTTCAAAATACTTCATATATGTTATTCTTTCTTCTAAAAAAATATACTAGTAATAAGATGCAGTTGCAAAGTTCAGGAAAAGTGGGACTGCATGCTTCCACACCTCCATAGTCATCAGAGTTATAGTTTTAAGTGTACATATACAGTTCAAATCACCAAATTAGAAAATCCGAATAATGGTGCAATCTTAAGAGACGAAAGGATATTCTATGAAATTTTTTTTTTACCTATCAGTCCACAAAACACTTTTAAAATACTCAAAACCAATTATCCAACGTTTTTATCGCGGGACAATAGACAAAAATTAACTTCTGTTTATATTTAAAAATATTTTATATGTCATAAAGAAATTTATAGGGAATTTTCAGTCAAGGTTATAGAGATATTGGAATATTTAATTTAGTTGATTGTTTCCAATATTGAAGATTTTATAGCTCTATAGTTACATTTCTTTTGGATCAGCTCTTGTATGTGTTGCAATTTACTGAAGCATACTTTTGCAAATCAAAATAAAATTAGTTATAGTCTAAATATTTATTCACATCAACATAGGGTACGAGCCATTTTTCCCCAAGATAGACTACGAAGTATTGATGAAAAGAAATCACTGTGGTGGGGAAAATACATGCACATAAATTGCTTAATCTAATAAAATGCTAAGTATGCTTGAATTTGTTGTATATTTTATCCAAAGGAAGATCACTTACTGCATGAAAATATTACGAAATGGATCTTACAGAAATTCTAAATTTATTTCTCTTCATGTTAAATAGACATTTGATAATTTTAAATAGCACAGTTTTTTTTATTTCTAATTTGTTATTACAAATGACTAATTTGGTATTACAAATGAGTAATTTGTAATAGCAAATTACTAATTTGTTATTACATATTATCGATTTGTTATAGCAAATTGATAATTTGTTATTACAAATTGTATTTTTTTCCAAATCATGTATTTATAAATACTTATTAATCTGTAATTACAAATTATTAATTTATAAATACAAATTATTACTATGCAAATACAAATTATTGCTTCGTAAAATCAAAATGATAATATGTAATTATTAAGGATGTCAAATCGGTCAATTTTTGATAATCGGTTACTCGGACGTTTTTCCGATCGAGTACCCGGGTACTCGGATATGTAAATATAAGTGTGTTAATTTTTTCACAGGACTTCGCATACCTATCAATTTTACCGAAATATTTAGAAATTATTATAGGTACTACGTACTTTTTATATTTACTGAAATTTTTGGTAAAATCGATAGGTACGCGAACTCCTGACAGGTGATTTTCTTGAGCCCCGTAAATCTCTGTTAAACTTCAAAGCTGTTTTTATCACGTTTATAAATGTATATATATACATGATATACATCGAGTCTAACGGAAATGATTTTTGGTACTAAATTTATTTATCAAATAAACACAAAAGACACAATTAATACATCAAAAATTACAAATGGTTTACAGTTCTTGTATAGGATCTATTTCATCAACGCAGAAGGACAATCTGTTACGCAGGTTTGTGATGATTAGAATTGCTGGGATCGCTAGTCTAATGATATTTCATATGTTGGTTGTTTCCCCCGTATACACTAAACTTACTACACAAACTGACTTCCAACATATTTTTAATCTATAGTTATTTCTAAATATTTCTCCACTTTTAAAGTGGGTACATGTAGCGGCATTTCTACTCATCTCCGATTTCGCTGCCGTATATTAACTAAATAATTTAAAAATGATTTGAAGATAATAGACCATACTTAAACAATATTCACTGAAAACAATCATGGAAGCCATCCAAAAATTAAGGACCACAATAGATGAGAAAAGCTGTGTACGGTGATTGGTCACTAATTACTGTATATACACGGCCACAGGCGATAACGGGTGTTTTACAGGTGCAGATGACGACGCACTAATTGTCGTATGCCATATATAAGTTTATATATATATATATATATATATATATATATATATATATATATATATATATATATATATATATATATATATATATATATATATTAATAAAAATATGTACTTTGAAATAAGAAAAATACACTTTCGAGTAACCGAGTACCATTTTTAGTATTCGATACTCGGACGTTCGATTGAGTACCCGGTTAACCGTGTACTCGTTGACATCCCTAGTAATTATAAATTTATATTTTGTGATTTCAAATTTATAGTTTCAAATAATTTATAATTTAAAATTGATAATTTGTAATTATAAATTAAGAAAAGACAGTGGTCCGGCCTTTAGAAGCTTCTGTAAAAAAAAAGTCGCAGTAAATAAAATTTGGTTTCTCTTTACTTATCTTCCTTTGTAAACTTGCCATCAATAAGTTTATCAATACAAGATTTTAGCGACCTTTAATGAAACATCATTTAAAACTTTTGTATCTAGACTTGGCTTATATGTCTCATTTTTTTCTGATCAAAGTTAATGATAATCGCTGTCCGTCTGCCTATCATCTTTTCTTATTTTCATTTTCTACAGAACTAACGGACATTGGATTGTTTCATTCATAAAATATTCTTCTCCGATACCTCTGGATCAGAAGAGATACAATCTACGTGAAATCTATAGCTACAGAACTGTAGCACCCTGGAAAAGAAAATTCGAACAGACATACCAGTCTGGGAAAGAAAATTCGAACAGACCCGGGGCATTGATGAAACCACATCCGGGGTCATACAAAAAAAATGTAATTAAAGATAGCTTTTCTACAGGACCCCAAAATGGTTAAACACTAAGTTGTAAACTTGTCAAAAGAATAGTTTCCGAATAAAATATCATGCCAGAAGTTGCTCTGCAAATAAAAAGATTGAGCATATGTGATACTGAGGATTTCAAATTTGAAGAGTACATCTACTCCATTAATAGTTTTAATACCGATTTTCTTCTGCACTTTCTTCTTCATCTGGGAGTTTATGTCAAATTGTTTCCCAAATGCAGTAATATTAAAATTATTCTCTACAGATTTCTAAGATTAACAATGATTAAATCAAGCTACTTTAAATAAATATTATTGGCTACCAAATAGCTCCAAGCAAAAACTCTCAAAACTTGCACCCCAAGAGATTACATAATTCATTAAATTTTGTTTATTGTGCAAATGAATGCAATTTCAGTACCTGTGAGGAACGAAACACTACGACGCATGAAGTTAGGTGATTTTCAGAACGACGACCATGTTGTCATTAATCTCTTTCTCTTTCGTTGTTGTCATCGTAGTCTTCAAATCGTACGGATCTCATTTCAGAGATGATTTTTTTCATCGTCTGCTCAAAGCAGACGACAAAGTGGTGATGAAAAAAGTTCTAGCGGAGTTCAGGGGTGTCTCTGTTCGACACTGTGGCTTGAAGTGTTTGGAACACTACCTGTGTTCTTCCTTCTTCATCAACAGAGAAAACAAGCACTGCAAACTCGCAGGAGAAGTCGACCTTAATAATCTCGTCTTCTCGCCTGGATACAGATACTATGTGTCGGACGGTAAGCTTTACTTACTGTCTTTTGCTTTTATTAGTCCCCTACCGGTGAAACGGAGGGGACTATAGGTTTCCTCCGAGTCTGTCCGTCCGTCTGTCTGTCTGTCCCTCTGTCTGTCTGTCAGTCTGTCCCACTTGGTTTTCCGCACTTTTTTCCTAAACGCTTGCAGATATTGAGCTGATTTTTGGTATGTGAGTGTATCTTGATGAGTTACAGATCAAGTTTGCATTTTGTTCCGCTTCATTAAATTTTGACGGAATTTCGGCCTTTTCAATTTTTAAGGGTTTTCCGCAATTTTCTTCTAAACGCTTTCAGATATTGAGATGATTTTTGGTATGTGACTTTACCTTGATTAGTTATAGATCAAGTTTGCATTTCGCCCCGCTTCATTGATTTTTGACGGAATTATGGCATTTTCAATTCTTACCGGGAACCAGATTACACTTGCCGGTAGGGGACTAGTATTGCTAATGCAATACTCTCAGAATGCTTGTTATATTACAGGTAATCTTGTGCAATTAATACAATTTTAATATGCTTAGAGTAATTTAAGAATGAAAACCTCGTGATTTTATCAATTATTAGTTATATATGTAATTAAGGTATGTCACCCGTGAAATTAGTTATATCAAGGATTTTTTGTGAATTACATTTTAGATAAGTACTCCTATGGTATGATTCAAAATCGCAAAGAAAATTGGGGGTCGGTGTGCATCTTACTGAACAACAGTACAATTAATTTGACCTTTTTGCATTTAAATTGTAGCTCTTAAGTTAATCACTTTAATCTTTATCATATTTTATCAGATGTAATCATGGCAATAAATATAATCTTATTTTACGTAAAAAAAAGTCTGAATAATATGTATCATTGAACAAATCATACAAATTAATGCGCATAAAATATTGTATGACCTTTTTGCACTAAAAAGTATCATATTTGGGGTATTAAAAATCTTAATAGGCAATAGAATATTTTCTTGTATCAAACTTTTAATGACTTTAGTACTGATCGGTTAGAAGTACCGTGTAGTTTAAAATAATGAAAGAAAAAGTTGGTGTCAGTGATGTAAATTTTGAGATATTGGTCAAAATATGCGATTTTGGGGCAAAAAACTTTGTAAATTTTATCTAGACTTCTTTTATATATTTTCATTTCTTGGCAAAAGTCTATTGAGTGAATGTGTAAAATTTGTTCTTAAAATTTACATTGAAACCTGTATTTAATATTCCTAGCATATAATAACGGAAAATATTCTCTGAGTAAAAATATGCGGGTCTAAAGTTCCAAGATACTAAATGTAATAAATGTGTAAAATTGCAGGATGTTTTTCTTAATATCCTTCAACCACAAGAAATAGTCCCCTATAAATCTTGTTTCTTTATGACTTTGTGAACAGTTGAAATTGAATATTGTATAACTTGCATTCCTTAATTCAAATATGTTATAAAAATTTAATTGTAGTCATATGAATAATTTTGAAGTAAGAGGTTCTGACCGAACTTTTCGTAAAAGCTGACGAGTGACATACCTCAAATTTAATTATTACAAATATTTTAGTTGGAAAACTTCAATTTGCACATTGCAACTGCAATACACTAATAAAAAGTGAAAGTCGAAGGATACAAGGATAAACTGAATTGAATGAACTGTATAATTATTATTATCATTTTAGGGGTAAATTTAATATTTCTTATTTCAAGTTTAATTCAAGTTTTTTTATCATGCTAAAATGGAAAATGTATATATTTTCTGATCCATTCTAAAATATTTTCAGATTTTAATTTTAATTTGTAATAAATATACATGAAATGATCTTTCTTTTCTTTTGGAAAATGACACCTTTTTTGAAAGGAGAGAATATTTCAATACGATGTAAGAAATTAAAGATATGTTTAAGGTATTTCCATCCTCCTGTGATGTCATGGGCTTTTGCAAAAACTGTTATCAATTTCAATTCATACCAAACTGAAAAATATCTTTTGAAAGAATGCTTTTCAATAGGTGTAATGAAAAATATTGTTTAGTAAAAGAATTTTTGAAATGCATATTTTCTTTATTTAATCAATTATTAAAGCTTTTAAAAACGTTGCTAAGAGCAATAACCCCTTCTCGTGTATCTTCATTCAGGCTTTTTCTTCATTGTACTTCTAATATAAAATAGTTTCCCTGATTTTCACAATTTTAAAAATATTTTAAAGTAGCAATTATTTGTAACTTTAAGCATCAAAATTATGTATTGGAACCAGTTTTTACATAATTTTTATGATAATGTTTACTAAAAATGTACAATTTTTTAATGCTAGCAAATACTTCTGTTTATTTGTGTCTCACAACTTCAATAATATGGCAACCTGTTTATTTTTGTGCAATTATTAGTTAATTTAAACTATATTTAGTTTAAATAAATTGCAGTTTTTCTCCTTTGAACCATCAAAACTGTAAGGGTGAAAATACCTTAAATATTGATAGATTTATTTACCCATATAAAAATCTGCAGAACATTAACTATTTTGTTATAAATATGAGTTAGTACGAAAGCCACTTAGGATCAAACGGGGGGGGGGGGGGGGTGAAAGACGTTATAACGCAAAGGGAAATTACGTACGTAATTACGCCAAACAAAGCATAAAAATGCAAAATTAAAAGGCGTCAATAATCGGCAAAAAGACGTAATAACGCGAAAAACTTGGCGTGATTACACCTTTACAAAAGATGTTATAATGCAAAGTAAAAAGGCGTTTTCACTTACCGTTATAAAGCCTTTTTCCCGTATAGTTTAATTTTTAAAATAGGCTTTCGAAATCTGTTTATAAGTAAGCATACCGGTACATGTACATGTATCTATTTTATACCTGAAACAATTTTTTTTTTATTATTTTGGCATTAGCTTTACTAAAAGCCAGGCTTCAGCGAAATAAGATGTCATTATAGCCATAATGGATTTTTGTTATCATATAAATACTTCATGTAGTTAAGAGTAACATTGAAAATTTTCAACAAGAACCCCAAGAAAATCATTGTCAACCGAGGCACAGCATTGGTTTTTTCGGGGGAGGGGGTGAAAATGTTTAATGTTACCCTCAACTACATACATTATTTATCATATTATACTGAATGCTTTATACAAAATTTTATGTATTTAATACATGTAATAGCGAGTCGTACTGACGCGTACGAAAGCCTATTAGGATCAAACTACGGTAAAAAAAAATTTAAAAGGCGTTATAACGCCTTTTCAAAAGGCGTTATAACGCGAAAAAAGGCGTAATAACGCCTTTTCAAAAGGCGTTATAACGCGGAAAAGGCGAAATAACGCAAATAAGGGCGTAATTACGCCTTTCCAAAAGGCGTTATAACGCGAAAAAAGGCGTTATTACGCCTTTCCAAAAGGCGTTATTACGCCTTTTAGAAAGGCGTTATAACGCCTTTCCAAAAGGCGTTATTACGCCTTTCCAAAAGGCGTTATTACGCCTTTCCAAAAGGCGTTATTACGCCTTTCCAAAAGGCGTTATTACGCCTTTCTAAAAGGCGTTATTACGCCTTTCCAAAAGGCGTTATTACGCCTTTTAAAATGGCGTTATTACGCCTTTTAAAAAGGCGTTATTATGCCTCTTTTTTTTTCAATACATGACTTACTTAGCCCACCCTGGGGACTGATTATAATTAGATTTCTAGGGAAAAAGATTTTTAAATGTGAAAAATATTTTCAGTGTTAAACCAACGTAGTCCTTCTCTGATGCCAGACGCTTCTACCAAGGTGTATGGATTTCAGAAATTTTGTTGAAGGCTAATTGCTCATTATACCTATGCAAATACTGATTATAATTAGATTTCTAGGGAAAAAGATTTTTAAATGTGTAAAATATTATCAGTGTTAAACCAACGTAGTCCTTCTCTGATGCCAGACGCTTCTACCAAGGTGTATGGATTTCAGAAATTTTGTTGAAGGCTAATTGCTCATTATACCTATGCAAATACTTTGCCTGTTTTTTACCAAGAGGAGAGAAAAATATTTCAAATTTGACATGAATTTTTAATACGTGGCTAGCAAAGCCCAAAGCTGGTTCTGCCTATATCCTGGATTTTCAAAAGTAGAGTGTTGACTTCTCTTAATATGCATGCAAAATGCAAACAACTGTCTGCGAGATCCGCAGGAATATAAAAAATTCTATAATTTATAATATAATTTATAATATTAAAACTATAATCTAAATATTGCATAAATAAAGATGGCTTTGGTTCAATCTTTCATATATTTACTATTTTAAAATAACGCCTTTCCATTTTTGGATACAACTCCTTTTCAAACAGGCCGGTAGTACGAATGTGAGTGGAAGGGGGGGGGGGGTCCCCCACCCGACTTTTTGGGAGAATAGTCTTGCTATAGTTTAAATATAAAAAATCATAAATTCATTGCTTGGTCCCTTAACATTTTGTTGCAGTATGGTTAAACTCGGGCAAGTCATTGCATTTAAAAAAAGTTTTACCGAAAAATTAGAAAAAGTTTCCCCTCAAGTTTAGGCAGTTTATTTTTTTTTTCGGGGGGGGGGGGGGGTGTTCTTGTTTTTTTGTTTGCTTGTCAATGTTATGGGACCCCCCCCCCCTTTAAAAGCACGGAACTGTCAAAGACATAATAATGGCCCTTCAAAAGGCATAATAACGCCTTTTTGAAAGGCGTATTAATGCCTTTTAAAAAGGCGTAATAACGCCTTTTAAAAGGCGTAATAACGCCTTTTTAAAAGGCGTAATAACGCCTTTTGGAAAGGCGTAATAACGCCTTTTGGAAAGGCGTTATAACGCCTTTTAGAAAGGCGTAATAACGCCTTTTGGAAAGGCGTAATAACGCCTTTTGGAAAGGCGTAATAACGCCTTTTTTCGCGTTATAACGCCTTTTGGAAAGGCGTTATTACGCCTTTATTTGCGTTATTACGCCTTTTGGAAAGGCGTTATTACGCCTTTATTTGCGTTATTACGCCTTTTTCCGCGTTATAACGCCTTTTCAAAAGGCGTTATTACGCCTTTTTTCGCGTTATAACGCCTTTTGAAAAAGCGTTATAACGCCTTTTAAATTTTTTTTACCGTAGTTTGATTCTAATAGGCTTTCGTAGACGCGCGTAAATTCCGCGCAGTCAAAATTTTTGGACTATCATCCGTTGTCAAGTGATGTTGACTGTTGCTATGTTCTATCATGCTATAGGGCGTGGTTTCATCATTCAGAAGGTATTAGTTTTTTTTAACAAATGTATCTCGACAAATAAAACCCAACTAATTTACTTTAAAATGTATGATGATTATATTGTATTCAGTTGAAGCATAGAATGTTCAAATGTGCTTCTGTTCATACAATTCAGAAGAGGGAAAAGGTCCAGCACTTAATACACCCTTTTGCAAAACCCTGCATCTTTTTGACAGCGATGTTTGATCGAGTGGTTCCCTTTATTTACTTGCTCCTCTCTAGCTCTTATTAACTACCCTTACATGTGTCTTGGATATGAATATAAAGTGCTCGTGTTATTATGTCACTGTAGGTTTTTCGAAACAGATACTGGGAAGCGGGAAAATCATAAATTCTTAGCGAGTCAACATTTAAGATTTGAAGATTATATTAAAGGTGTAAGATGTGCCATTTATAATGGTATATTACAGACTGTAAACGGAGTATGCTGGGATGGGAGTACACGGGAACGAGAGATAGAACTGTGGATGGGATACTCTGTCAGCGCTGGGATCAACAATATCCACGTCAACACACGTACGACCTCCTCTCAAGTGAACACAATTATTGCAGAAATCCTGCTAAAGCATACGCTAAAGGTCCGTGGTGCTATACGACGCAGGGAGACAAACCCTGGAATTACTGTTTCGTTCCAAAATGCGGTGTGTATCAAATTGGGATTTGAGAGGATGGTGGGTGGGTTTTGCATGTTCTTTTAAACTGCATTTTTAATCACTCCATTACATAATTCTGGATGAGAAAAATCTAAAGATTTTTAGGCAGAGAAAAGAGAGAGTGGAACCTAAAAACGCAATCCGAAAGAAAGCTTAAGAACATGAAAAACTCTCCCTCACTAGATGGACAGATAAACGGATGCTAGACAACTGGTGAACAGAAAAGCTCTCTTGAGCTTTCAGCTCAGTTGAGCTTTAAAAAAGCTTCACATATGGAATCCGGATCGGGCCATGTAGTTCACTGTCGCATCATTGCACCATCAAGGTTTGGGTCGATAGCGCACAATGATGGGATGACGATGAAGCGATGGTGTGACGACGATGATGCAATGGCACGATGAAGCGGTAGCACGATGACGTGATGGTGCAATAGCGCGTTGACGATGATAGGATGGCGCAACAATGCCATGACGATGATACGATGGCGCGATAGTGCGATGACGTGATGGTGCGATAGCGATGATACGATGGCGCGATGACGATGAAGTGATGTTTACTATCGCTCAATCGTGCTATCGCACAACCGTCATCGAATTGTTGCACCATCGCATCATCGTCAACGCGTTATCGCATCGTCGTGTCATCGCTTCATCGTCGTCGCACTATCGCGCCATCGACCCTTTAGTCGATGCTCAATGGTGTGAAAGTGAACTACGTATCCCTATCCGGATTCCATATTCACATATGAATTGATTTCTCTCCAAAACTTGCGGTAAGGCATAATGATAAATGCGTTAACCAATACGCTACACAGTCTTCTTATAATTGAAGAGAGTCTCTGTGTGGTTTAAATAAACGCTTGGTCTCCAAAACCAACCCTAAAAGAATAGGTATTGCAGCACTACAAGTTTTTTATATTCTCCACCAAAAAATTCGTGTATATTATGACAGAGTTTACAGAAGACATCCCTTCAATAAAAAAAAATTCTTTATTAGACGTTAGAGTATGAAGCCAATTGCATTTTATTTGAAAAGAATGTTTCTCAAGGTATGTAATACTAGCCTATTATACAATGCCTAAAGTCTTTTCAGCTAATTATTAAACTGTCATATTAATTTTTAAGCTTAAGATTTTACACTGAAATTTTTGAAACCTGTTTTAATGTAAGAAATATTACCTTCTATATGGTCTTCAAAATGGGATTTTTATAATTGAAATCAAATCATTATATTCTTAAAGTGACTGCAGCACGCGAGTGTCGCACAACAAAGAGAGGAGAGGACTACTTTGGTACAGTGAACGTTACCACTACCGGGATAGAGTGTCAGAGGTGGGGGAATAAGTCCCCCAGGGTCCATGATTACACCATTCTCAGGCAGGAGAAAAACTACTGCAGGAATCCCTTTGGAGAGAAGAAGGCACCCTGGTGTTACACATTGTGGGGGCAATATGAATTTGGCTATTGTGACATTCCAAAATGTTAAACTTGTAATATTGAGCTACCGTGTTTGTTTCTATTTCAAATGATGCTTTCCATAGCTCAAACAAAAAAAAATTCAAACAAAAATACTGAGCAGATAATGAATTCCTTTACTGATGAAATATACTGAATTTTGTGGGGGAAAAAATCTAAATCATAATACTAATTGTTTTTAAAATTTTTGAAATTTAATTTGTAAAGATAAAATTTGAAGCAGGTAAGGTATTTGTATTGCAAAAATATTTGTTTTTTTTAAATACATTCTCTAGCCTTGTAAATCAACAGTATACTGTAAATGTACTTTTTTCCACAGTCATAATTCTGCGGGATCACAATTTCTGTTCAATCAACTAAGAAATTATGAGAAAGGTAGAAAATTATGTTGATTTCTTTTATTGCTTCTTTAAAGTAAGCTGTGACAATTTTCTGCAGAAGATTTGTGGCTGCACACATAGCACAGAAATAAGGACGCCTACAGTAATACAATGTATATTAATGAGTAGTAAAGTTTGACAACACATAAAGAAAGTAGGGAGTGCCTATATGCTTACAAATAATAAATCATTTCAAATAGTACCTCTCAAATTTCAATGACATCACATAAAATTAAACTGCAGTCATTTGTCCAAAACAAATTGCTTGCAAAACTGCGATTTACAGTCGTGAAGTTTCAAGTAGACATCACCTCCAGTAAGCATAAGGATTTATTCTATATTTATGCTGACATTGTGGTGAACACAAAAACAAAAGGACGGGAACGTCTGTTCTTCCCTGCAGGTCTACTGCAGAAACTGTGGGTGAAAGAGTCTTCAATGAGAAAGAAGTCATTGCTCGGACACAGCCCTCAAAACAGAACCCTCCACACCAGCAAACTCGAGCCGAGTCCAGGTAGCGACAGAGATGAGTATGCAGGTCCTCATCACTGTATGCCAACCTGAAAAATATTCTAAACTCTAACATCTGATATTTCTTGTTTAAGGCAAAGTGCAAGTTTCTATTCTCTATGTCAATCAAGAGCCTTTTCAATTAATATTGGCAAATTAAATTTGATGTTCTTACTTCAAACCTACATGTATGCATCAATTTTAAAAAAGTAAGCTTTTTATTCCTTAAATTATGAAACAAAATATACCAACTAAAAAAACCTGCAAGTACACATGTACCAACAATCAATAATGTGTACATTTGATTTTTATTGTTTTATGAAGCCCTTGGGAAATCAACCATTTTCTAACCAAAGCCTGTAATGCTACCAATATTACTATAATCATCCTACATTTATCAGATTCCTTGAGATATGACAAGTCTTTCATGCTTATCACAAGGAAAGGAAAGGCTACCTTACAGCTTACATATATAGCAAAAATTGCTTCATTTTTCCTTGGAGAAAAAAAAACCCAGCCAACAAAGGTAGGTAAATCTTTCTTCATATTTATTCATTTCTGACCTCCACCCAACTAACCTATCCCCATATTAAAATAAAAAAAAATAACACTTCAAATAAGAAATAAAAATTGCAATCTTTTTTTCTGATAAGATGGGCAAATTACAGGTTATCATCTGGACTTTCTGAACTTTTTATGGTGATTTTACCTACTTTATATTTTTTATGTTATGCAAAAATTGATTCATTTTCTATTCACAACCTTGCAAGGACAGATATTTTTTAAATGAGTTGCAAAGCAGTGGCCCTTTTCACAAAAAATCTTATGACTAAGACAAAAATTTTCCTATTCTCCAACAAGTATCTAAGCTGTAGTAGGTCACAAATAATCTTACTATTTTAATACATTGTAAATATTAAATATCTGGGAAAATAATAAATATCTTTATTAAACCCAAAAATACATATACTAAGTGGTCAAATTTTTATCTTAGTCCTAAGATTTTTTGTGAAAAAGGCCTCTGATGCCCCCTCTCCTCACCCCCAAAAAGAGAGAGAGATTCAATCTATCTAATCTGTCTTAAAAAAATTAAATTGGAGAAAATACCCAATTATATACACTTATTTCAATGCATAATTGTTAATGTAATCTTAACTTTTCTTGGACATTAGTATTTTGATTTTTTTTCCATAAGAATCAAATATGCAAACACTGAAACAGAGGTCATGCTATCAAATAAATGTCACAAGTTACATGTACATGTATTTATAATTCATTAAGTGTTCAATTAAATATTCAATTCTCCCATGAAATTTAAGTCCATCATGTAAAATTTAAAATTTATACCAGGTACTTCTGAAAAATTATAAATGAAAATTCTAGATTAACTGCATGGTTGAAATGATTAAAATGTTCAACATATCGATCAATTAAGAAAATACACTGGTCTAGTAAATCTGTGGCATAGAAATAAATTTTCAACCAGAAATGATGAGAGTTACCTATTTTTTCTAATCATTCTTCCACAACACTCCACTAAAGATGGCACTTGCCACTCTTTCTCTTCAAGATCACTCTTTGTAACGTCAGCAAATGGGTTACTAAAAAGATCGAGATGTTCAAGTCGTAACTGCATAAAACCGCATGGAAGTGTTTCTATCTTGTTATGACTCGCTGAAAGATATTTAAGTTTTTTGAGTCTTCCAATTGTGGGTGGAAAGTTCTGCAGTTTGTTGTGATCCACCTTCAGTGTCACAAGATTATCCAGTTCACAGAGCTGAATGGGCAGAAGATTTATGAGGTTGTTACTGAGGTCCAATAATGACAGAGTTTCCTTCCAATTTGGCAGTAGGCAGAGAGAGGTAGGAAGTGTCTGTATCTTGTTTCTAGAAAGCATAAGCTCTCGTAAATTTGTAAGTTGAGAAAATGTCTGGGGTAACTCTTCAATGACATTTTCTTGCAAGTCTAAATGAAGAAGCCTTTTTAGCTGAAATATTCTGGAATCTATCTTCTTCATTCGACACTGAGAGATGTGAAGATGTTCCAGCAGTGAAGGAAAGCTCTTTGTGAGAGGATAGTCTTTTCTGGATGTTACTGACATTTTTGTTTTCGGTTTGTCAACACTTTTAGTACTCACTGGGGCCAGTGTGGACAGGCTGATCTTTTCTATATTCTCACCTAGAGATGCCTTCCGTAGCAATGTCAGGAAATTTTTCAGCTGCAGTGGATCAGCCTGCACAAGAGAAAAAAGTTCTCCTCAACAGATTTTCACGTAAACTTGAAACACAAATTATTAAAATAAACACAAAGTCAAATGAGATTTTAAAAAAAATGTTTTCAAATTCTGTTTGTAATTTTTCATAGATCTCCATCATAAACCAAACATTTCTTAATCAAATTATACATATGACACTTATCTTCAAATTTTAAACAAATGTCTGATGGACATGTTGGGCCAAAAATGAAAAGTCAGGAAAAGTAAATTGCTAAATTTGTTTTACCGTGTGTACTCGCCTATAAGTTGGTCTGCATATAAGTCGGTTGTATTTTTTAAGCTTAGAGGGATTGACCCACTAAAATACCATTCTTTTTATAACTCGCGTATAAGTTGGATAAAGAGTTTTGGACCAAAGTTTAACTCCCAGAAAACCGACTTATAGGCGAGTATATATAGAGGATATTCAATGTTTTGTGGATGAATATGGAATTTATTTCACAAGTGGGACAGGATTTTTTGATATTTTCACAAGTGCGAAGCACGAGTGAAAATATCAAAAAATCCTGTCTCACGAGTGAAATAAATTCCATATTTATCTACAAAACATTGAATTTTCTGTTTATTACATTTTCTTTGTTTTTCACTTTACGTCTGTCTTTTCATAACACACTGTCATAGACTTGACGTCATAGTTGAGCGGTTGAGACGTCATAGCTTAGCAGTTGTGTGATTAAAAACATTACATAGCATGGATTTTAGAAACATATTTGGGAAGAAATTTGCAGTTTTAGCTCTATCAAAATGCTTAGTTACTATCTCTATATTATGACAGGCCAGAAATTATTTTTTTCTTACTTTGATATCCTTTCACACTGTGAGAGAATATCACTTTTATTCAATAAATAAATCACAGTATTTCACTGTTGAAAATGTAATAAACTGTATATATACATGTTAAGAGAGAGTTATGATATTTATTTCTAACCAGTAGTTTCAAAACATTCTACATGTAATTATTTTAGCTTATTGGAAATGCAGCACAAATGTAGGTCCACCCTCACAATGTCAGGGGTCCTGAGTCCACTTGTGGCAGATGGACCCCTGACAAACTTTATTTAATATTTTATGGGCTGACTTCTTTCATTGAGAAGCACCAATCAGATCGGGGCGGTCATAAGTTGACATAAAGTAAACAGTCAACACCTCAATACACATGTTACAGATTGTTTGTCACCATAAGGTTGAATGTGATTGGTCGAGAGATAAAAAAGCAATGAATATTTGTAATTTCCTCGAAAGACTTCACTGATGTCAGACCGTAAAATACCAAATGAAATTTGTCAGGGGTCCAGTGGCCATGAGTGGACTCTGCACACCTGATGTTGTGAGGATGATGTAGATCATGCACTGTAATTGTCAATCTTGTATTATCAGCACTATCAATATTTTAATGCATAACACTGATTTGAAATTAATATTTGAAAAAAGGTCTATTTTGAACAAATTTTAACAAGGGCACCACAAAGCAGAGCATCCCTTTGCAAAAGAGCATATCCTGATATGAATTACAGTCAAACCTTGTTATCTCAAAATTGATGGGAGCGAGAAAAATTTGAGATATCCGAGGATTCGAGGTATCAAGGGTAAAACACTTAAAGAATAAGAGGTTGGGACTTCCAATTCACTTCCACATATCCATGGTATTCAAGATATCAGTGTTCGAGATACCAAAGTTCAACGGCACATGTATTACAAGCTTAACTTTCAATACGCAGGCACTCACTCGCTTAACCCCCCCCCCTCCTCCCACACACAAAGTTAATGTTTATTTTCAAAATTATGTTACTGATTACAGATAGAAAATCAATTCTTCATGACCAGTTTCTTAATTTTTCTGTGCTTTCAACAATATGGCATAAAATACATGAGTGAATAGGAACCGAGACAACCCGTTATTGGCGACTTCACTGTACGTAGGTTATTCAAGCTACATGCATGTAGCTATAAAATATAGTGATTGTACAAGAGTTGTTGAGAAATAAATGTTTACATGCTTGAAAGGTACCAAGAATAATTGTGGAATTGGTTACATCACTGTACGTAGGTAATGTGTAGCAAAATATAGTAAATGATGTTAACCAAAATTGCAAGCTTGATTGCACACAACTCAATATTTACACTTGGAAAAAGCAAACTACTGTATGTTATGTTTTATTATCTCCTAGTTCAATTTCATTTATGTGATTGGAATACGAGAAGATCACACTAAAGATGAATAAATTAAAATATACAGATATATAAATCAAGGCAGCATTCAATCCGGTTGCAAATTACATCACTTCTGTTATGTGCACAAGCAACAAGGACAAACTAACTCCCCCCCCCCCCCCCCCCCAACACACACAACTGCATTACTTTATCCCCTTCAACTCTGTTGCAAGGAGATAATAACAATATGTTAATGGTGGTATTGGACACAAGTTCTGATAACCTAGGTAGTTTTTCTCTCCAGGTCATGTAATAGCTTATATTTACATTTCCAAATATTTTTCCTTAAGATTCTTTGCAAATTAGAAAAAAAGGTCACGTTCTCATGAACTACCGTGGGATGAATAAGAATATTTCCATTGTGATGAGATTGAATTCAAAAAATATGCCGGCGTGAAGTGTCGTAGTTCATGTCCTCATGAATTCTCAAAATTGAATTCATCTCTTAAACAAATGACTGCATCAAAGGCAGCAAAAAAAAGAATAAATTTTGCTAAAAGTACACACAAAACATACCAATACTCTTATGACCCAATACCTGTAAAGCTATTTAAATGACTTATAATACAGGTAGAAATGCAAGCATTACATGGAATTAGTAGCAGTACCCACCTTGCACAAGCACAAATCTTGCTGGGGGTCTTTCAAGCGAATAGTCGCTTTTCCTTCATTTATAAATTTGGCAAATATTTGCTCTATATTGTCTTTAATCTGGAAAAGATATAATATCTGTAATTTACACCTGTAAGAATTAATTCATCAATTAAGAATGAATTTTAAACTTGCTATTATCTTTGTATTCTGTATTAAAGAATGAGCAATATTATGAAAGGACAAGCTAATTCAGCAAATTTGTGTCCCCATATTAAGGGGAGAAAAAATGGAGCAAGAAAGACTGAAAAAAAAAATGCAGATGGAGACTGAAAAAAGATTGACCTTGACCTTCGACATTTTTACCTAAAAATCAATTGGGAGGTCTTTAGGTAACTGGGGTCTATGATTTATAAATTTTCATTGAAAAACCTCAAAGAGAACTAAATTTATCATCTGAAAACCATTTCTTGCAATATATGAATTTCTGACCTTGATCTTTGACCCTAATATCAATAGGGGTCTTCTTAAAGCCATAGAATTTCACTGCAAATGCTCAAAGTCTCTTTGATAATCAGATATCATTCAGAAACGAAAGTGTTACACACAGACCCAAATTAATATCCCCCACTTATGGTGAAAGCAGGGAACAAAAAGTTTGATCAAAAGGAGATAAGACATTCCAATAAACAGTGATAGATGAGAACACCTACTTGATACTTTGCCCCATTTCTATCTTTTGCAGTGCATGCCATCAGAAAGAGTATGCCTTCTTTGGAATCAGACTGTGGTTTCCTTCCTATAGACAGTTGTGTGTGACAGCCCTTGCCTCCTTTCTTGACATTCAGGGATGGCAGAACACGATTTATAATGTCCATTTCACATTTGATCCTCATTTTCTTAAACAGAAAGAACATCAAATCAAATGTTTGTGTTTAGTACAATTTAAGAAAATTATTTTTTCATTTCTTATCTACTGACTCAGACACTATTTTGATTGTCTAAGTGGTAGAGAAAAGTACATGATTTTGATTGTCTGAGTGGTAGAGAAAAGTCCATGTCGTAATTTCATATCCTATTTTATCAAGAAAAGTTACAAAGTCTTGCAACTTCTACGGTAAATGCAGGTAATTCAAAAAAGGAAAGTGACATATGGAAAAATCACTTGGATACTCTAATATTTAAAACATACAAAAAGACAAAGTGATATGACCCCAAAAATTTTGTCTTTCTCTTATTTAAAGTATTTCCGAACGTCAAAATTTTTAAGCATTACTGTAAAAAATGTTCAAGTTACTGTGTCACAACATAAGTGTTGATGGGCAGACGGACAATGTGATTCTTATAGGGCTCACACATTTTATGTGATGCCCTAGGAAATAGGACCAAAGAGATATTTAGTTTGACATAAGATGATATAGTTTCAGCTATACATGTATGTTGAAACGCATGAAATATATTGGAACAATATGATATCAATGAAATATTTTCAGCATGATAAAGACTCAAGTCCATACACTCACAAATGTATATAACCATAAATTAGTAAACTCAAGTAATTAAAGGAATCATATTGAATATTCAAATCAGAGACACAAATAACATATTAGTTATATGTTCAAATTTATCATAGTATGTTCTCATATTCTTATCATAATGCTGATCAAAAGGACTTTGTGTGCTAGCTGGAAAAAAAATTACAGCTTAATGCCTAAAATAATGATGTTCAAAATTTCTCTGTCTGTTTGTCATTGGGCAGAGAGATCAATCCAACACCTGAATAAACATATGCAAAATTGCAATTCTTTAGTCTGCATTTTCCTTACAGAGTGCTATAAGCAGTACGTGATAATGCAGAAATGACTTATGCAACTTCTCGTAATGCCAACTCCCAACTTCAAAGAGATCATGAGAATAAAATAGTGCAATGCAAAAGAATGCTGAGCTAACCCAGAGGCACTTGGTTTCATGAGGGTGTAATTTGTGTGTTATTTGTTTTTCTAGGTGTGTCTGAACACACTCATTAAAATAAAAAATCGCAGAAATTAGCATGTTTTAAAAATATTATATCACTCTTTATATACAGAAATATTATATTTCTAAAACATGCTAATTTCAGCAATTTTTTATTTTTATTTCAATGAGTGTATTTAGACACACCTAGAAAAACAAATAATACACAAAATACATGCACCCTTCTGAAACCAAGTGCCTATGAGCTAAACCAACTAATCTATAGTCATATCTATACATATTTATAACTTGTGGTATTGTACATCTTTCATTTGTACATTCATGATAGATATCAGGGCTGAAGGAATCACGGGGGGAGGGGGGCGTGCCCTCCAATAATTTTGCCGATATATAGATCACTACATTGAACTTAGCTACTATATGTTTGTGCCCCCTCAATAAATACGTCTGATGACCCTTTTTTGCTTTTTTTTTTTTTTGGCTTGTCATGGAATTTTTGGTAGTTGATCAGTTGATAGTGCCTACCCCCCCCCCCCCCTGAAAATGTATGGCTGTGCCCCCCCCTTCCCAAATGAAATTGCTTCCTACGGGCCTGGATATGATTTATATTCTTTCATATTACAACAAACTTTAATATTATTTATATGTAAGCATTCTGAAATAATTGTATATGCCCCCCTGAGGGCACTTGATCACTGTTGATTGGATTGGTGAATAAACATATGTTATAACAAATTTCACAACATTCCAGTCATTGCCGTCAAACAATTGATAAAGTCAACGATCTAAATTAAACTTCAAAGTACTGTGGCCTGGTTTAAGTGTTTTACCTATCTTGTTTGGTCCAGTCAGGTAAGAATCGAATGTTTACATATGCTGAGTAGCAGTACAACTTATCAAAATTTCCGCCAAAAATCATATTGTATTCATGCGCACTAAGACTAAAAAACATTCTTTTACACATTTTAAAGAATATGATCAAAATTATGAACAACTGATGAAGGGAAGAACTGAATTATCATAATTAACAGATGTATTTGGGGGAAATCTGACAGGATCTTTAAGAACTATGTTTTTAATCGGGATGTTATCCTTTGGCTGTTGTTAGGTCAACATCATTTTTAATGAGAAACCTGAAACGAGTGCAAACAACACATTTTTAGCAATATTTACCGGTTATGCAGATTCTCTTATGTCATTACCTACCAGTTCTCTATGAAATTCATTATGCAATGTGTCAACAATTCAGAAAAGTTTGTTCATGAAGTATTTCTGTAAAAATCGGGCTTTTCCATAGGCCTCAGCATCCGGCTTCTTTCTGCTGACTCTTCATTGTTCATTTGGACACTACATCTAGCAGCGCAACCGACAGACAATGTTAAAATTGCGTAAAAGTACAATCAGGTTGCTTGCATTGGCAGTGTTTTATCTGCTTTACCTTGTGATTGGTGCCTCTGTATTTTCTGCTATTGAAGGACCACAAGAACGAGAATTAATTAAGAATGTGAAGAAATTAAGGTCTCAGTTTTTAACTGACAACACATGCTTGACAGGTATGTATGCTTTTCAAGCTGTAGAGTCATAAAAGAATTGATAAAACTATCTGTGTGTTGATGTAAATTTACACTTTGGGTTGTATGATATGTCCCTAATGATACAGTATGTGGCTGTCAGACGGGTTCGATCGCCAGTGGCCAGATGGCTCAGTTAATAGAGCACGACCACCTGACTGGAAATTCAGGGTATGAATCCCATCTCATTTTTCTCCTCTCCTGTTTCATATGGTGCCATGCCATGTCCTAGAAGTGACAGGCAAAAGACCTGCCAAGGAAGAGCCTGGGTTGGTGTCTTCGGGGGTGAAGACCTTTGAGGGGGGAGGAAAGTGGCGGTCAGACGGGTTGATCACCGGTGGCAAGACAGCTCAGTTGGTAGAGCATCTGACTGGAGATTCAGGGGGCCCGGGTTCAAATTCCAGTCTGGTCTATCACATTTTTCTCCTATCCTGTTACCATGGTTACTGATATAATTTTTTTTTTTAATAAAAAATGACATTTTGATATGTTGGCAGTTGCTCTATAATACATATAACTCACATTAATATCTTTTGGTATAATATGATATAATATGCAAGTCAGGTCTGTTACAATTTACATGCAAAAGAAGTCTGCATTGAAAACAAACTGCGAGAAGGAATCATTTCAGTTGATGGCTGAAAGCTCAGTTGAGCTTTTCTATTAATCAAAGTTGGTACACCATCATCTGTCTGACAGTTATGTTTCAAACCTCTTCTGAAACACCACTTGGCCATTTCAATCAAACTTGCCACAGAACACCAGGAAAGGTTGGTTCTGTTATTAACAAGGACATACACAACGTACTTTGAACTTTATTGTCTTTTCCCCTGGAGTTGGATAGTTCCAATACTTAAAGGAACTGTGTGCTATATCTTAATGTCTATGTATGCTGTTAAGCCAAACAAAAAAATATGTGTGGTTCCGGTTACACCTCCAAAAAATTAGGGTAGGTAGGTAGGGATTTTTTTTTTTTTTTTTTTTTTTGATTTTTTTTTTTTTTTTTTTTTTTTTACAAAATGAATTTCTTAATTTTTCTAAATAATACTTATCACTACTTTGCAAATGACATTTACTAGTCAATATTAGTAGGGGACATCTACATGCTAGCTTGCTTTGGATTTAACACTAATAAACACTTGCACTATGTTGTGCAAGGGGGCCGTCATTGCTGAAACTAAAACTTAAACCGGAGCCATTGATGGAAGTTGGGGAAAATTCTGGAAAAAATATGAAAATTGCCAAAAAAAAGTTTAGGGTCGGGGGTATAAAATAGGGACGGTCGGGTAACTGGAACCACACATATTTTTTTTATTTGGCCTTATACACTTCTTTTAAAACAAGTTTGGATAAACAAAACATCTAGAATATATATTTAGTAATTTTATATATTTTTCTTTGAATTATACAAGAATTTTCATCAAATGATATCTTTTTCAAAACACCTGGTAATGCTTGTTGATTTTTTGTCTATGAACATCTGATGGAAGTATAATCTTAAATTAAGAATATCTTGAAAAATTATCAGTAGGTAAGGTATGTTGAGTATCAGAGTTTGAAATTCACTATATACCACTCGCAAAATGTGAGTTAGAATATCAAAATTGTGAGCTGAAAATATAGTAACTCACAAAAAACTTGTGAGTTGATTTTTTACTAGATTTGTTATACTTTGAACAAGAAAAATCAAGATTAGAACATGAAAAACTGGAGAGAAAAAACTTGCATTGAAAGTGGCCCAAAATTATATAATATATTTAGTATTAATTTTACAGAACAAAATGCTTATAATATAAATAAAACACTGTGAGACTGCAGTTGTACCGGTATTTTGTTTATTTAACTGTAGTTACTTTATCCTTAAGTTACATGTATATAATTTTAAATTTAAAAAAATCTTTATTTTAAAATTGCGAGTAGTCTTGTGAAATTGCGAGTGTGTTTTATTGGTTGTATTTTTAAGGAGTTTCTACCCCTGCCATATGTCCTTAAGCTTCATTTGAATAATAAGTCAAATTAATACACTCGGACCTTATCCTGTGTAGGATTAAATTTGTTCAAATTTAATATGGCTTGTAATCTAGCATGGGAGACCAATGAAGTGGATCAAGTTCAAGATAGGAATATGTTTGGAAAAATCTTTTTTCTCTCAAAAACTATTGGACCACAAATAATAATAATGATCGATAAAAAAATATATATATGCAAGCATCTGCATTTGAGATGTTTACACCCAATATTGTTTAAATCATACTAAGCCTTCACAGAGCTAGAGTGGAGCCACAGTAGGTAGGTAGTTTACATGCCATTGGGATTATTTATGTGTATGAAAATATACACTTGTATCTTGAAATTTTTTTCAAGAATGTTAAAGCCACAGCATCATTATTTTTTTTTCATTAGCAAGGTTATAGTAATGCATATTCATGAACAAAAAAGTTTATTGTATTAAACTTAGTTTGGCCTTAGCCAAAATTTGTTCTAAGTGCCTCCTGAAATAGAAGAGTCATAAAGTTTTTTTCTGCTTTATTTCTAACTTGTTGTGAAAGCAACAATTTACCACTGACTATTTTAACGTACAACAGTATTAACATTGTACTGTAATACTTAGTAATAATTATTCATCATTTTTTGCTGTAAGGCAAATATGCATTGGAAAATAAAGAAACAAACATCCTTCTGTTTATGCTTAATGATCAACCTTCCTGAATGGCTACCCTCTTAACATGATCAGTACACAAACGTCTACTTGTATTGAGAAAGCATTCAATTGTAAATGAAAATATTGAAGGTTTTCTTACATCAAACATATAAAATGCAGTTTTTCCCCAAGCTATTTAAAACTGGTATATAGTAACCAGTAATCAGGAAAGAAAAAATTTCTTTTCTAGCTGAAATGAATGTTTTTCACCATGTGTGTCACTTATTTGAAAGAAGTATAAGCCATTTCCCTTTGTCTAAATTCATAGTCACACAATTCAGAGATTTTTAGCATTTAGTTTCCAAAGCAAATTGGTGGCTAAACAAGCATTTTCCATCTTTTTCATGCATAGCCTGAGTACATGTATTGTCCAATTTGACGTTTCAATTCAAATGCATATTTTATCAATTCAAAGATAAATCAGCTTGTTCATCCCTCCTTTGAAAAAGGGGGTACATTTTACCATGTTTATTAAGGGATGGTTTTAGAGTAGATATTTTTGGGTGGAAAGTCTCTAAATAAATGAACAACATTTTTGTTAGAACATGTATATTGCATAAAATTTCATATTTTATCTATTTCTAATTTATCTGGTACTTTGCATGATTATTGTTACATTATATACTGATGCATAATCATCTTTTTAGCTCACCTGAGCTGAAAGCTCAAGTGAGCTTTTCTGATCACCCGTTGTCCGTCGTCCGTCCGTCTGTCCGTCCGTCTGTAAACTTTTCACATTTTCAACTTCTTCTCAAGAACCACTGGGCCAATTTTAACCAAACTTGGTACAAAGTATCCTTGGGTAAAGAGAAGTGTAAATTTTTAAAATAAAGGGCCAAGTCCCCTTACAAGGGGAGATAATCAAGAAAAGACAAAAATAGGGTGGGGTAATTAAAAAATCTTCTTCTCAAGAACCACTGGGCCAGAAAAGCTGAAACTTATATGGAAGCATCCTGGGGTAGTGTAGATTCTAAATTGTTCAAATCATGACCCCTGGGGGTAGGGCGGGGCCACAATAGGGAATCCAAGTTTTACATTGAAATATTTAGGAAAAATCTTAAAAAATCTTCTTCTCAAGAACCACAGGCCCAGAAAAGCTGAAACTTATATGGAAGCATCCTGGGGTAGTGTAGATTCTAAATTGTTCAAATCATGACCCCTGGGGGTAGGGCGGGGCCACAATAGGGAATCCAAGTTTTACATTGAAATATTTAGGAAAAATCTTAAAAAATCTTCTTCTCAAGAACCACTGGGCCAGAAAAGCTGAAACTTATATGGAAGCATCCTGGGGTAGTGTAGATTCTAAATTGTTCAAATCATGACCCCTGGGGGTAGGGCGGGGCCACAATAGGGAATCCAAGTTTTACATTGAAATATTTAGGAAAAATCTTAAAAAATCTTCTTCTCAAGAACCACTGGGCCAGAAAAGCTGAAACTTATATGGAAGCATCCTGGGGTAGTGTAGATTCTAAATTGTTCAAATCATGACCCCTGGGGGTAGGGCGGGGCCACAATAGGGAATCCAAGTTTTACATTGAAATATTTAGGAAAAATCTTAAAAAATCTTCTTCTCAAGAACCACAGGCCCAGAAAAGCTGAAACTTATATGGAAGCATCCTGGGGTAGTGTAGATTATAAATTGTTAAAATCATGACCCCCGGGGGTAGGGCGGGGCCACAATAAGGAATCCAAGTTTTACATTGAAATACATAAGAAAAATCTTTAAAAATCTTCTTCTCAAGAACCACTGGGCCAGAAAAGCTGAAACTTATATGGAAGCATCCTGGGGTAGTGTAGAATCTAAATTAAATCATGAGCCCCGGGGGTAGGGCGGGGCCACAATAGGGAATCCAAGTTTTACATTGAAATATATAGGAAAAATCTTAAAAAATCTTCTTCTCAAGAACCACTGGGCCAGAAATACTGAAACTTATATGGAAGCATCCTGGGGTAGTGTAGATTCTAAATTGTTTAAATCATGACCCCTGGGGGTAGGGTGGGGCCACATAGGGAATCCAAGTTTTACATTGAAATACATAAGAAAAATCTTTAAAAATCTTCTTCTCAAGAACCACAGGGCCAGAAATACTGAAACTTATATGGAAGCATCCTGGGGTAGTGTAGATTATAAATTGTTCAAATCTTGACCCCCGGGGGTAGGGCGGGCCACAATAAGGAATCCAAGTTTTACATTGAAATATATAAGAAAAATCTTTAAAAATCTTCTTTTCAAGAACCACTGGACCAATAAAGCTGAGACATATTTGGAAGCATCCTGAAGTAGTGTAGATTCTAAATTGTTCAAATCATGACCCCCGGGGGTAGGGCGGAGCCACGATAGGTATATTAAAAGGGGGGAAATCTGATAAAGAACAGCATGGCCAAAGTTACTCAGGTGAGCGATGTGGCCCATGGGCCTCTTGTTATCTCATTGTTAGAATGAAATATACCTCTCCCATTCACCCATTTCTCCAAATGCCCAGCTTGCATACATTTAAAGATGTTAATTCAGAGTAACATTAATTTTCATAATGATTATATTGATCATAACAAAGTTTTGCACTAAATTCAGAACATGTCGAATCTTTTAATTGATAATCAATTTATAGAAATTTGTTTGCTTCGAAATTTGTTTGTTTTGCTTGATAGGGTTTTTTTATGTTTTGAAAAATGATAATTTCATTTATTAATGAAATTAATGAAAAGATGTGAATCAAGTTGTACATTGATGAGTAGTGAATATGATGACTGTCAAAGGCAAATCTACAAGAGAGATTATTGCCAGCAAAATGGATGAGTGAACATTAATGAATAGCAGTGAATTTAAAGCAAAATTAATACAAGAAGTTTCAATAAACTACTCAACCATTCAACATGACATATTGATCATGATATTGTTTTTCATTTAATATATATTTTTCATTAAAAAGAATTTCTTATTAAGAGAATTAGACAATACTGTATGTGTAACATAATCTCAGGAAAAAATAAAAACAATTCCTTTTTTCATATTTTTTTTGAAGAAAGTGAATAGAATGGCTCAAATTATAGCATTGCCTCAGAATATCTATTAAAATTGGATAATTAAAGCTTGAAGACAAAACAATTGAATAGAAATGTCAATTAAAACAAAATAAAAATGCTGCCTCTCTAGCGATGCATTCATCCTGGGATTATAAATAGTGTATGACACTATGCTGAAATTGATTTTGTTGTGATAAATTTCTTTCTTGGGGTCTAGGGACTCATCAAACGTAGTGCAGATTACTGTAATTAGAATAAGCTCGTTCCAGTGAGACACTGAGTTCAGCAGTCTTGGATTAAGATGGAAAATGTAAAGGCCTGTTGCAGAAGCTCCACTGCTAGATTAACATGGCTTTGCGTAGGATTTTTTGGTTATCTATGTTTTGGTGCACTCGTGTTCATGAAGCTAGAATATGGTGTCGAGAGGGATGATCGAAAGGATTTCATGAGCAGGAAATGGAAATTTTTGTCTGATCATTCATGTGTGTCAGGTAGATTCTAAAACCAAGATGCATAAAAATCAAAATCTCTTTTTAATGAAAAATATATATTAAATGAAAAACAATATCATGATCAATATGTCATGTTGAATGGTTGAGTAATTTATTGAAACTTTTTGTATTAATTTTGCATTAAATTCACTGCTATTCATTAATGTTCACTCATCCATTTTGCTGGCAATAATCTCTCTTGTAGATTTGTTTTTGACAGTCATCATATTCACTACTCATCAGTGTACAACTTCATTCACATTATCTGATCTCAATACATCTGGAAATTCATACATGAAATTAAGGCCTTTTATCATCTTCCTTTCTGTTTTCTAACACCCAAGTTCTCACTTTTACAGACATCCATACTGTCAAGACAATTATGGACATCATCTATGGACACTGTATGTTTATATCAAATCTATATTAAGGTTTTGCTTTCTTACTTTTTGTAACCCCAAATTCAAGGGAGAAAGTGCATTTAGAGTAAGCCTAATTGAACCATGTCCATTTGTGTCTCACTCTATCAGCCTATCTAGCTTTGGTAACTGTGCAAAATGTATGATGATCTTTAAATTTTACATCATGACGATGATGTATACAACATAATCCACTTTTTCACTCAATCAGCAATCGGTGAATATTCTATTAAATGCTTCACTTAATCATTAGAATTTTTCTATGTTCACAGTCACATGAGCTTGTAAGTTACATCTTCAAGAAACAAATATGAAAGAGAGGAAATATTTGATTAGCTAAGAACTTTGGATCATGCAGTCAATCAAAAGTAAAATTTCTAAGTAAATTATATCATATTAAATAAAATTTTAGTGATTAACAGCAGGTCCGGGCTTGGTTGCTTCCCTTCCTCCTCCCTTTCTTAGTTGCTTTTATAAATTTTAATTTATGATCTATTACCTGGTCTGAAAAAGAACTTTGTTTGGAATACTTTTAGGGCTACAAAGTCAAAGGGCTTGACTTCTGTTCCTGAAAAATACCAGAAGGTGAAGACTCAAGAACACAACAATACATATTTTTATATCCCTGTTTTCTTCCATTATTGTAGAATTTTTTTTCAACACTGCAACATTCCAAGAGGCTGAAATTGATTGATAAAGACCTGATTTTTCAACTCTGAGAATAATATGTATTGCATATTTATTAGAAGTATGTTACATCCCAAGGCCAACATGGCTTTCATTCATCTCAGTGGCTAATGTTGGTGAATCTGGTTCCGATACAGATTTGACATGCATTATTTTCTATACAAACTGAAGAATCAGTGATCAATATTGTTTTCAGATGACAAGTTGGAAAAGTTCATTGCCAGCATTGTTATTGCTACAAACCGGGGAGTGTCAGCCACTAAGAATGTTACCATGTCTGAGCCTAACTGGACATTTGGCCAGTCCATCTTCTTTGCTGGAACACTCCTTACAACAATAGGTATTTAAAAACAAAAATACATGTAAATATGTTCAAAGATGGGATGACTTGCAATAAAAAAAAAACAATTTATACATGGTTTTTCATAGAAAGGAAATGGGGGGGGATTCATATTTTTGGTTTCACAGACTGGAGCTGACTCAATTATGACCACCATTGATTGAGGGAAGGGGGAGAGGGCAGATAGGGTTACATGTACCCATGTATGTTTGCTCTGTATTTGTTTTCATGCAATAACATTGTTTTGAAATACAAGTGTTTTTTTTAGCTCACCTTGACGAAGTCGAGATGAGCTTAGGCTATACCCCTGGTGTCGGTGTTCTGGTTAAAGTTTTAGGAGCAAGTCCATTCCCAAGTAACTACTAGCCCAACCTGGACCAAACTTGCATGGATGATGCATCTAGGGATGGACACTACTACACTTGCTTCGGATGCTGAATCTGACCTACATTTTCTAGAAGAGTGACCAGGTTAAAGTATTTGGAGCAGGTCCATTCCAAAGTAACTATTAGCTCTACCTTGAATAAACTTGCATGGATGATGCATCTAGGGATGGACACTACCACATTTGCTTCAGATGCTGGATCTGACCTAGATATTTCAGATGAGTGACCAGGTTAAAGTTTTTGGAGCAGGTCCATTTCCAAGTAACTATAAACCCTACCTTGACCAAACTTGCATGGATGATGCATCTAACCAACCTGCTTCGGATGCTGGATTCGACCTAGATTTTCCACATAAGTGAATTTTAGCCATATTTTAACCAAATTAGCATGGATGATGTAGCTAGGGATGGTCACTCCCAGACTTGCTTTGGATTCTGAATCTGAGCTACATTTTCCAGATGAGTGACCAGGATAATTTTTTTGGAGTAGCTATATAACATTATGGCCTGTTATGATTAAACTTGCATATATGGTGCATCTAAGGATGAAAACTTCCAGACTTACTTTGGATATTGGAATTGAACAAAATTTTCTTGATCAGTAAACAAGATAAACGTTTTTTGAACAGGTCTATTTCCAAGTAACTATAAGTCGTACTTAAACCAAACTTCCATGGATATTGATCTTGGGATGTACACTAACTAAAAAAAGAATATGATGTGAAATTTGCCTTACTTTAAGATAACATTCGTTGAGGTGAGCTTCGTTATCTTTGATTACCTATGTTTTTAAATTAGATGTTTCCTTGCATATATTTTCTTGAAAATGATTATAGGGCTAAAGAGAATATTACATGTACTGTACAAATTAAATACACTGGTCAAAATTCCATGTTGGAAAATTCATCAGATTATTCACACTTGAATATGAAAGATTCTGCATATTTTATATATAAATGCAGATTTTGCATATGGATAGGACATTCACATCCAGTGTTCTTAATTGTCATGTATTCTCATGATTTTTAATTTTTTTTTCTTGAGTATTTTTTTTTATTAAACTTTTCTTAATTCTTCATAGAAATCTAGAAAACACAAAATATCCAACATAATTTTTTTTTAATAAATGCTGGTGGGAATTAAGTACATGTATTAGAATTAAAGAATGTTGCTTTTGTTTACATTCTTTATGTAACATTAACCAGAACTTTTTTTTATACCTTTCAATTTTGATTCCACCATTGTAGGATATGGCAGAGTGGCACCCCTATCTGAGGCAGGGAAGGGTTTCTGTCTCCTCTATGCCATGATTGGCATTCCACTGACCTTGATTTTCTTCACTGCCATCGTAGAGCGCCTGATGATACCCACCAAAATGTTCCTTTATTTCCTGTTTCGCAAGCTTGGACATCTATACCGAGTGTTCCACATCCAGCTGCTGCATTTCTTCATTTTGTTACTGGCTGCCATTGTTTTCATCTTCATTATTCCTGCCAGCATTTACTCTGCTCTTGAGCCAAAGTGGGACTTTTTAGACTCCTTTTACTATTGCTTCATCTCCATGACAACCATCGGGCTAGGTGATTACATCCCAGGAGACAACCCTGACCAGAAGGCTAGAGCTGTATACAAGCTAGGCACCACAGGTAATACTGTATACAAACCAGGCACCACAGGTAATACTGTATACAAACTAGACACCACAGGTAATACTGTATACCGTACAAGCTAGGCACCACAAATATCAAATCTGTGGAAAACTCTCCTTCCACTCACCTAGTCACTTGGCTGTGTGCTATAAAATCTCTGATCTGATACATGGATTTAAAATCCTCTCACAAGATCTTTGAAAGTCAGGGTAAAGACTATTGGCTTGCCATGTAATTTTTAAAACCCCCAAGTGAATTTTTTAGTATGCCCGTATGTGAAAAATACAAAATTTTAAAACAATTATTTTACATATTTCTCTCTTTGTAGTGTACCTGTTCATAGGCTTGCTGATGATGATGCTACTGTTGGCAGTCCTGTACGACATACCAGAGCTCAATCTAGGCTTCCACTTCTACCTAAAGAGTGATGAAGAGGAAGAGGAGAGGGCGAGACTGAGGAGTGGCGGGGAGAGCAGCGGACCCAAATATACCAAACAGCGGGACGAGGACACTCACAAACAGAGTGGGGGGAGCCAAATGTACCAGCCCACCCAGGATGATGTGGCAGCAGCCACAGGGAAATAACATGAAATGATTAGATGATAGTAGTCCTTATTGATTAGCTTCAAGAAATTAGCTTGTAGAAATGTCAGGGTTGCTTTAAAGTGTCCAGTTATATTGAATGTGATTACAGTATACTGCATCTTCACTTCAGTGCTAGAAACTGTGTCACAGAAAGGTGCACTTTGAAGAAAAGATTGATACTACATAATTCATTTTATATGTGAAAAAAAATGTTTTTAAAATGTTTGTATACTGTAGAATCATTTTAATTCTTGGAGGTCAGTATATGTAGGCATTCAAAATTTTTGTGGGTATATACAGAAGATTAAATGAACCAGTACATTGTTATCATTTGTGGGGATGTAAATTCGTTGGTAAGGGTGACCCACAAAATCCAAGAACATGATCGGTCCCCCATGAACAATGATGACTCCACAGGATTCAAATAATAACATATTGGCCATTGAACATATGTTGAATTATTACATTTATAATAGCAAGCTCTTTATAGCAAGACTAAAGTCTTCAGGTACTGAGAAGAAATAAAAATCCCTGTATTGTATTATAAGAGCCACCTTCAATTGTGAGACTGCTAAAACTCACTGTCACAAAGTGGTTTTCAGGAACAAAGTTTAAAATTTGAATTTTTACATTAACTTTGGAGTTTTTTTTCTACCATGTGTATTTTTCTGCTTTCTTAATATATTTATTCATTCACTATTTTATACATTGTCGATAGAAAATATATTTGCAAATTGGGTGCATTTCAAAAGTCAGGTTCTATTTTGGAGTTCAAGAAGATGAATGTAAAGAATAATTGTTTCATTCATAGTGCTTTGCGATGTATAGGAATATAGCTTCCTTTGTATACAGTAAAACTTGCTTTTAAGGAAGTCATGTGGACATGAATTTTTAGTTCTTTCTTTATACAGTGTATCTATACAAGAAAGGTTTATGATATGAGGGATGGGGAAGAGGGTTAACTTATAACAGAGATTTCCTTATATCCAAGTCCCTTATGATGAAGTTTTACATGTACTGTATACATATGTACTGGTTTATACATTTTGCAGATTCATCTTTCAATTTCACAAGGATTTTCAGCATACAAAATAAGAAACAAAAATGTATCTTTTCACTATTGTGTGTGTCTCTGTGTTGCAGCAAAATTTTACTGTTAAAAGAAATATTCCCTCAAATTAAAACTTCTTAAAAGTTTGTTATACATGTATATCTGTTTTGGAAAATATTGCAAAGGTTTACCATAAAAGTATGTGTATGTTTATGTATTTAGTCCCTATTTATTTGTTCATATTTTACTATTTTGTTGTATTTTTTTAGTTATTTTAAAATTTGTAGATAGTGCAATATGATACATTGCCATACATTTGTTATTTGTTGAAAAGGTATCTGTGTGGTAGTGTAATAACATGTCTGTAGGTTGTGTTTGTATTTGTATTTAAATTTGCATATGGTATACACAGGGTATGTTTCCATATGTATTGGTTTATTTTGAAATAGAAAAAATGTGGTCAAGTGGTTATCAGTTAGATATGAGGTTTGTTTTGGAATACAATGTATATTTTCAATTACATTACAGAGAGTGTTTTAACATGCTTACTATGGGTCTCTGTAACTGGTATTGAGTGAATAAGGATAGCGATATAGTATCTTGCAGCAGAAAATTGCATTGTTTATATTAACAGGATTTTGCTTTTTGTTCTTGCTAGTTTAGATCTTTTATAATGCTGTCATCATTTTGAAAACTTTCTTCTTTTTTTTTTTGCTAGTTTTAGGCTTTTAAAATGCTTTCATGTTTTGCATTACATTTTACAAATTCATAACCAGAATCAGAGAATTCTTAAAATTAGGTTTTGATTTGATTACAAGTTACCAGGTAATGTTAATTTATGTATAGACAATTCTGATTTATTCAAACTCTTGAGTGATGTTAAAGGGATAGGGTCTGTAACTTTGCATTATGTACATGTATTGCAATTGAGACAGATGAGAAAATATTTTCACCTTAGCCAAAAATATGATTATTCTGAGAATCACAAAATTTAAAATGCACATCTCATGGGGAAGAGGAAATTAAGTAACCAGTAATTAAAATGCGAATAAGCATCCTGCCAGTGTAAGTTAAATTATAGAATTTAAAAAAAAATATGAAATCTGGCAGAATGGCATGGGTAGAAGACCAAACATAGAAATCAATTTATTGTCATAATTAATAAATTTAAAATGAGTTTCATACTACACAGAAGCTTGGTTGTTCACCAGGTTTCATCCATACAACAAACAGATGACATCTTTTAATAATGTTCATAAAATCTTGGTTTAACAACATGCTTGTGTAATTAACGCTAAAGAAGTTGAGAAACATCATCAACAATATCTTCTACTTATATCTCATTGTTGATAATTTGCAAAATTACAGACCCCATCACTGTATGTGGAAAGTATGGTCACTGTTGATCCTTAGTTACGTTAGAGTGATATATTGTAGACTATATCTCTATGTAAATGTTTATGATCTGAGTAAACATGTGATATGGGTATGTTTATAATGAGGTAAGGCAAGGCTGTAAGATTAAGAATCTCATGTTTTATTACAGTGTTAGAAATTTGTACATCTTTTTCTTCTTCTACTAGAAATAGATACATGTATATATAGCTGTTTACCTGCAGGTGTATTCTTCTGAAACTTTATTTACATTCCAAGAATCTCATTTGATATTGCATTGATGCAAAAAATAATATATTGAATTGTTTGCAGATATCATTTGAAAACTAGTCATTACTGCTTTTACAAATGTTTATCCTTATGCTTTTCATTCCACAAATATGTTAGATACCTGTATGTTATTGTTGTGAAATAAATACATATGAATGCTGATAAAACAGTAAACAAGTCTTCCTTGAATTTTTTCTTCAAAAGAAAAGTTTGTGGTATAATATTAACTTGCAAGACATTAATAGTTATCAAAATCATCCTATCAGAGAAGAATACAGTAAGCTGTATAATATTTACACAGTTGTTATTAGTTATGGAGCTCTTGAAAAATGCATAGGAGATTCTTTTTATCACATTTTTAGCTACCTCAACGAAGTTGGAGGGAGCTTATGTAATACAGTGGGCGTCCCACATTAAAGTTTTTGGAGCAGATTTTTTTTTTTCAAGTACTTCTATGCCCTATGTCAATCGGAGATGCATGGAGGATGCTTCTAGTGTGTTTCATTGTACCAGTCAAGGTTTCAGATGCTGCAATTTCAGGTAAAGAATGACCAAGTTAAAGTTTTTGGAGCAGGTCTCATTTCCAAGTAATTATAAGCCCAATATTTAATAAAACTTGCATGGGTGATACATCCTAGGATGCACATACCAGGCCTGCTTAATGCTGGATCTGACCTACATTTTTCAGGATAAGTGACCAGGTTAAAGTTTCTGGAGCAGGTTCATTCTAAAGTAACTATTTGCCCTACCTTGAGCAAACTTACATGAATGATACATGTACATCTAAGGATTCACACAACTGGATTTGCTTCGGATGCTGAATTTGACCTAAATTTTCCAGATGATTGACCAGGTTAAAGTTTTTTGAGCAGTTTCTTTGTAAAATGACTATAAGCCCTATGCTAATCAACTTTGCACTAAAGATACATTTTGTTGGTGCAAACTACCAGAGGTACTTTGGATGCAGGATTTGACCTTCATTTTCCAGATGAGGCAACAGGTTAAAGTTTCTGGAGTAGGTACATTACCAAGAAATTATAAGGCCTGTCTGAATCCAACTTGCATGGATGATGCATCAAGGATGAACACTCTGAAATTTGCTTCATAAGCTGGAATATACTTACATTTTCTGGAAGAGTGACTAGTTTAAATTTTTACATGTCCATTCCCAAATAACTGCAAGCCAAATCTGACAAAAATTACATCTAGGGATGCATACTAATAGATTACTAGTTTACAGTGGGACTTTGCCTTACTTAATGACTTGAGCTCTGTAATCTCTGATTACCTATGTTTACCTAACTTTAATTAATAGCTTTTTAATAAGCACTTTTTTTGCTTTTCCATTCTCAGTCTTATCTTACATAACATCAAAAGTATTATGCTGCTAAAATTAGTGCATAGTAAAACAAGATGGGTAAGTACGGCCAAGGTTAAAAGCGTTTCAGAAGTAGACGAAATGTCAAGGTCATGAGGTCAAAAGTGCTGGTACCCAAAGAAAGGTCACAAGGAATACACGTGAAATATAAAAACAAAAAGTGGAAATATGCTTCGGTTTTAATTCATCAACATTTATTTAATGATATGAATGTACAAATACCTATGTCAGTACAATTTTTTGTGCATTTGCAAAATCCAATTGTTAATCAGAAATTGGACTTTTCTTCAACACTGAGGGATGTTTGCAGAAGCTCACTCAATCAGTTTTTGACTGTCTAGGAGACTAGCTCTTAGAAGCATGAAACAATTTCCAGATATCTAGCAAAGTGTTATTCATTCAAATGAAGATTCTGGTATTTCTTGTATCAACAATTTTAGTCTCCTTTAGAAAATTGTCATGAAACTTTAGTCTCCATTAGGAAATTGCCATCATGAGACTTGTAAAGGGAGATAATACAGTCCATTCACAACATCCAGGAGAGCTCTCATACAGGCCAGCTTAGAGTCAAATCCTCCAGCACTCTCCTGCTCCGAAGCACTCCTAATGTGATTCAGGTACCTGAAATGCATGGGAAAAAACTGAAGGTGTAATTCTTAATGAAACGGAAGTAATCAACTTGAAATGAATTGTCAATTTTAAAATTTTACTTCACTTAATCATCCAACCAAATTCTCTTACAGTATAAGCAGAGATTTTAGCGAGGATTTAATTTTGGCATTATTAGCGAGGGTTCTGAGGTCACTAAAATTGAATATTGCTAACATTTTATTCCGTATCGGTTGTTATAGCTATCTCTCTTTACATAATAAAATCGCTAAAATTACTTCTCGCTAAAAATATATACTGACTTTTTGGGATAAATCACTAAATTTGCGTCTCACTAAAATTTCCACTTATACGGTATTTGAAATCAATAAAAATGAACTGTATATTTCAATGTCCATATCATGAGTACTTGTGTTACACTGATGTGGCAATTGCAAATAAACAGAAATTTTTTGCAAAAAAGCATTACAATGATTTTTGAGATTTCAGCTGACAGTAATAACTGCTTACCCGATTGTCTCCAATGCCTCTTCATCTGGCGGGTCTGGTCCTAACACTTCCAGGTGGACTGGGCTGTACCTATACAGCTCTATTGTCTCCTGAGGTACTGACATAAAGGGCCCCTGGGCTCCCTAACATCAACAGGGATTAATATTGAAGTCAGGATTTATCTTCATTTAAACACATATATTAATTTTTGCACTTTTTGTTTCTATTTCATTAAACTTAAGGTATCCAAATTTCAATATAGTTAGAAGACCATCAATGAATATATGCTGGCTGTTTGGTTATTTTCTATTTACTATAAAATTAATTTCAGTTGAATTAAAATTAGATCTTTCAGGCTCCCATCCATTAATATGTTGTGGTGAAGATCTAACAACTCTGTGATAGAGGTCATTGCAGTTTGAGCTATAGCAATGACTATAAAATCAAAACATTGCTGTCAGACAAATTCTTTCCAGTGAGGTCAGAGGAGATTCTGTAGTGACAACAAAGATGCAGCACCACAACATATCAAAAGATAGGACAGTGAAAGATCTAATTTTCATTACATTGATGAAATTCATAATAACACTCTTTACCAATTTGATTCCAGTGGAGAATTTTGTTGTGGGCATCACAGGAGCACGGAGTTCGTTCTCTTTGTCTAGATCTGTTTTGTGTTCAGAGAGTATATCCATGGCTGATCTGTCTGAGAACATCTGAAATCAAAGTTAAAATACATGTAATTATACAGGCCTAAAATTAGAGCAAAATGTATCCAGATTTATGCACCTATTTTTGTTTCTTACCAATTCATCCAGAAGTGCCTCCTTGTGCCTCTTTTTCGTATCTTTCTGTCGCTGTTCCTCCTCAATAATCAGCTTCCTCTTCCTGACATTTTCATCTTGTTCTTGTTCTATTAAGCTTTCTAAATATTCTTCATCTTTGCTCTGCAATATCAGTGAACAAGGTTTACAAATTTTAAAACTAAATGTACATATATATATCAACTCCATTAAATGCTCACTTATTTTTTATGCTTCAAGCACAACAAAAGTACAAAATATAGAAACTATAGATGGTTTATGGTTTGAGACTTCAGTGTATCTTGTTAAACAAATCTTAATCATGATGCCTCAGCTTAAAAAGGGCAGTATTCATAGACAACGTGCTCTACTGGATTAAGAAAAAAAATGAATTAATGAACTAAGCAAGAAATACTACTGACTCTTTCAATGAAAATTCACCAGTGGCAAAAAGGTCGAGCATCCCCCAACCAAACTGCTGACTTTTTTGCATCACATTCAACAAAAGTATAATTTTTTTTTATTTTTACTCACCAGCATTGCTCATGAATGTTTACAAAAATGTCTTTAAAATATGTTCTCATTTACATGTACTGTGTACTTCATTTTTTTTTTTACATCTATAATCCTTTATAAAATACATCTAAATAAAGACATGTATCCATTATACTTCCCATATAAATGTACCAACCTTTTTATTTCGTCCTTTACTGATTTGATCTTTATTATCTCTCTTGTATTGTTCTACCATCTGTCGTGTTTCATCAACATCAACATTGTTAATGATATTAAAAACTGAAAATAAGAAGACGGGGTAAGAATCCGCTTTCAAACAAAAATGAACTTTATACATTTTCTCTTAGCATTTAGACAAGGAGAGGGGTATAAGAAGTGAAGAGTAAAAATTACTTATCACAGAATGCTTCAACATATCAGAATTCATAAGCAAAAATTTGAATCTATAGGGAAAAAAATTAGATTTACTGTAAGTACTTAAAATTGTATGCTTACTTATGTATACTTACTAATAGTTTCTATTTTTTCTATGTAATCATTATATTCCTCCAAAGTATCAAAATCTTCTTCCTTTTTGTTAAAGCTACAAAAAAACCAATTGTAATTTATACATCACTGAATGACTATGATATCTGTTTTCTTTCGGCATTTCTTACATCTAGTAAGTCATAATTTTTAAAATCACTAATACTGTGAAATATTTGGTTTCTTGAACGTTAAAATTAATGCTCAGGAAAAACCTAAGATATAAACACATTGTATTTTGATATACTTATCCTGTGGCAATTTAGTTCATTTAGCAAATTAATCAAATAAACTAACTCTTTCAGAATCTTTTTACGAACTTCTATTTCCTTTTCTATGAATGGATCTTCAAATAACTGAACCCTGAAATTTGTTTTCCTCAATGCTGTACCACATTCTGGACATGTTCCTGAGCCTTTGACAAATAATGCCTCAACACAAGTTTCACACCTACAATGACATACAAAGGAATTCAGCATAAACATTGCTAAAAGTGGGTTAAATACTAATTAAATATAAATAGATACATATTTTACCTTCATAATTTTTCAATATCTGACAGGCATATGCTCAAAATGGATAAAAAAGACTTGAGGGAATGGCTTCACTTTACCAGTCCCCAGAAAAATGCACTAAAATAATTTATTACACTTTCATGTTAAATACTAAAATCTGATTGGTTTAGACGCAGTTAACAATCCATAATAATACCCTCAGCATTAACAACACACTTGGCAACGGGTAACATTACGAAAATGTCACATGCGTTCAAATCATGCGCGTATGGTTCACCGTAGAGTTCTCAAAACGTCAGTTATGCGTTTAAAAGAAGCCAAATAAATGACGTCAATAAAAGCTTACATCCGATGTAGCATACTTGAAAACAACAAACGGCAGACGAAACATCCTTGCGAGTGCAAACTTCAGATGATAAAGGACTTTCTGAGTAGCAAACAAACAATAAAGAGGTGGTAAATCTTTTCCGAAGCTTTCTTATTGAGAAAAATAGAAGCGGGGAGTTTAAAAACTTTCTAAGTGTGAACTGAATGACGATCTCTGAATTTTTTTTTTGACATCCGAAATCAATAAGACATTCAGTATAATAAAATAAAAAGTGCACGTTTTTGAGGGTAACAGTTGAAATTGACATCCCTCAGAAAACCATTGTCAACGTCCACTGACACGTTGGTTGACAATGGTTTTCCTTGGGGTGTCAATTTCAACTGCTACCCTCAAAAACGTGCACTATTTATATAATAGTGTAATCATATGCAACATAGATCGTGTGAGTGATTTTAAAAAAAGTACGAGGTTTTTTTTACCCCCAAATTGAATTCTATGGATAAAAGTTAAGTTTAAAACTTCATTTTTAAATAAAGGTTTTAACCTCGTTCTCTGAAAAAAATTAATAAATATTGTTTATACACTAAAAAATTGACCAAAAATAATTGTCAACAAAGCGGTGTGGTGCATGCATAGTGACGTTTCTTTCATACTTAGCCATTTTTTGATGTAAACAAACCAATGAGATGCTGTTGAAGCTGAATTAAGATCTTGCAAAAATTACAGATGCAACTGAATTTTTTAATTAATCTAAAAGAACAAGACACTAACCCAAATCTCTCAGATGATATGCGAGGACTAACCTAAATCTCCCAGGCAGATGCTAGACTAACTGTAATTGATGAGTCAAATAACGTCCGAGGACTAACCCTTATTTCTCAAATGGATGCGAAACTAACCTTTTTCAGTCAAATACTTGTGTAAGCACTAACCCTTATCTCTCAGGTGGGTGCAAGACTATCCCTTACCAGTAGAGTAGTGTGCAGGACTACAAGGCCGTAACTGAGGCCCAAATTTTTAGTGAGGCAGTTTAAGGGATCTGGGGGCCACTTGAACCCCAAGCAGGTCCAGGGTAGAGTCCTGATGGGGGTTTTGGGGGAGGGGGTCTCAAAACCTGGGTTTTAGCAAATTAATCTTTGAAAGTTTTCACATTTTGAATTATTTTTTTTACATGCGTTCTAAAGTAAATAATGAAGCACCTTGTGGGATGATCGATTTACAGAAATTGAAAGTATTAATTTAGTACAAAGCATAGGCTTTAGAACCGGCTCAGGAACATGTCAAAGATAGACATAATATAGGCATTGAAAATTGGGGCTTACCTTTTTTTTGTTGGTTTAGCACCCCCCCCCCTTTCAATTAGCCACCCCACTTTCAATTTGCTTCTGACGCCTATGCAAAGATAACATAATTAATTAAAGTTCAAAGTAAGACTTTTTCCACTTTTCAGAAAACTCTAAAATATTAGTGAGGCATTTGCCTCAAAGGTAGTTACGGCCTTGGACTACATGTAACCCTGATCAGTTGAGCGACAGTAGATCTTCCTTCAGGCAATCAGTACGTGGATTTTGCAGATCTTGGGACTGGTAAAGTAAAGCCGATTTGGGTAAGTGTTAACCAAGATTTACTTATAAATAACTGGAAAGATCTGGGGAAAACAAGTCCCCATAAAGGTACCACACTTAGAATGAACATTGGGAATATTTCATATCTCAACATTTCATGAACTTTGCAGCTTTCAGTGAAACTCTTCCTTCTCTTTCACATGACTTGGGGTTAATCTAATAGGAAATATTACAAAGTCTTACAAAGAATGCCCACAGACATTGACAAGAAGTTTTAAGGACGGATTTCTATATTTTGTTGTCTTGCAGCGAGGACATCCCTGGTCGTCCATTTTTAATTAATTCACACTAGTGATATTCGAGTTTCCGTTTCACGTCATTTATATAAAATTTCAGGACTGTATGTCAGTTTTTCATTTAAAAGAAATTTGATTTCTAAATGGTTAATATTATTTCTTAAAGTTTTGTTTAAAAAAAATGTTTTCGGGTGAAATGCAATCGGAAGTTTGCCTATGTTTGGTACGAATTAATATTGAAAAATCGCTACTTCCGTATGTATGATGTTTTCGATCTCGTAACCAGCCTCTATAACCAGGCAGAGCGCATGCGTGAAATAATTTTCCACCGAGATCGGAAAACAGCAGAGAGGAAATTCGGAATATATAATGGAAACTAGTAATGCGGAATGATACTATAGTCAGATGCAGAAATTTTTGCATAATTCGATCAACTTTTATTTAAAAAAGCAGAAGAATAAATGAATCAACTTTACAGTTAGTTTTTATTTATTTATTTATTTATTTATTTAATTTATTTATTTATCATTCTTATAATTAATTAACTAAGTAACTGATTAATTTATTTAAAAATATATATTTGTATTTTTTTTAAATTCATTTATAACATTCTTTCCTTCATTTATTAATTATTCCATCCATTAATTAATTATCTATTAATTAATTCATTGATTTATTAATTTGTATGCATGTTTATTTATTTATTTATTTATTTATTATTCTAATAATTAAGTAATTGATTAATTCATTAAGAAGTTCATTTATTTGTTTGTTTATCTATTTATTATATTCATTCCTTCATTTATTTCGTATTCTATTTATTTATTTATTTATTATTTATCTATTTATTTATGCATTCATTTATTCGTATTTTTATTTATTTCTTTATTTTTTATTTCTTTATTGATTGATTGATTTATTTTTGCATTTATTTATTGATTTATTTATGCATTTATCATATATTTCTTTTATAAATTAATTATTTTTACGGGTTTGTATACTTATTACCAGGGTCTGTTTATGTATTGCCATAGTTTGTATACCATCACCAGGGTCTATATACCTATCACCAGGGTCTGTATACCTATCACCAGGGTCTGTATACCTATCACCAGGGTCTGTGTACCTATCACTAGGGTCTGTATACCCATCACCAGGGTCTGTATACCCATCACCAGGGTCTGTATACCCATCACCAGGGTCTGTATACCTATCACCAGGGTCTGTATTACCTATCACCAGGGTCTATATACCTATCACCAGTGTCCTTATACCTATCACCAGGGTCTTTATACCTATCACCAGGGTCTGTATTATCTATCACCAGGGTCTATTTACCTATCACCAGGGTCTGCATACCAATGACCAGAGTCTGTATACCTATCTCCAGGGTCTGTATACCCATCACCAGGGTCTGTATACTTATCACCAGGGTCTGTATAACTATCACCAGGGTCTGTATTATCTATCACCAGAGACTGTGGACCTATTACCAGGGTCCGTATATCTATTACCAGCGTCTGTATTTCTATAACCAAGGTCGGTATTATCTATTAAAAGGGTCTGTATACTTATCACCAGGGTCTATATTATCTATCACTAGAGCTGTACATCTATCACCAGGGTCTGTATACCCATCACCTGTTTGTCTGTCCGCAAAAACGTGCCCATTACTTTTGATTGGTTGGACCTATGGCTTTCATATTTCACATGTGCATTCCTTGTGATAAGGCCTTTGTTTGGGTTCTAACATATTTGACTTTTTTGACCTTGATCTTTGAGTTTTTCCCACTTTTTCAAGAATTTACCAAACTTTAACCTTGGCTATAACTTTTCAACAGTTGGTGCAAGGGCTTTCATACTTTATACTAGTATGTGTATTCATAGTAGCAAGACCTTTGAACGGATATTAAAAAAATTGATCTTGACCTTTGAGTTTTACCAACTTTTAAAAATTTTAACCTTGAGAAATTAGTATCAGGGCTATTATTTTCCACATGTGTATTCCTTGTGACAAATCCTTTCTTTGGGTTCCGACATATTTGAAATTTTGACCTTTATCTTGGAATAAAACATACTTTTGAAAAACTTTAATCTTGGCCATATATTTTGAACAGTTGGTGCTAATTCTTTAATGTTTTACATGTGTATTTTTTATGACAAAGTCTTACCCTGGGTACCTTTAATTTGACCCTTTGACCTTGACCTTGCAGTTTGACCCACATTTAAAAAACTTTAACCTGAGCTAAACCTTTTGAATGGTTAGTGCCTGGAATTTCTTATTTCTCAGATATATTCACTGAGAGTCCTTTCTTTGGGTAACAACATTTTTCAGCTATTAAGGACATACGCAACGTAGTTTGAACTTTATTGTCTTTTTCCCTGGAGTTGAGGATTTCAAATACTTAAAGGAACTGTGTGCTACATTTTAATGTCTATATATGCTGTTGTACACTTCTTCTAAAATAAATTTGGATAAACAAAACATCTAGAATTTATGTTTAATAATTTTTGTATATTTTTCTTTGAATTATACAAGAATTTTCATCAATTGATATCTTTTCAAAACCCCTGGTAATGCATGCTGATTTTTTGTCTACGAACATCTGATGGCACTATAATCTTAAATTAAGAATATCTTTAAAAATTATCAGTAGGTAAGGTACGTTGCGTATGTCCTTAATATTTGAGTTTGAGTTGCATTTGAGAAACTTTAACCATTGTCAAAAGCTGCCATACAGGGACATCAGTGTTTCACAAACACATTTTGTTTTAATTTGAAATACCAAACAAAATTAAATTGAAATATTCGATAATAACCATTATAGATTTTAGATAATTTTGTTCACTAAAGAAGAGAAAGTCCTTTGCTGTAAAGTGAGGTTTATTTGTACGTTTATTTGTTCACTAATTTGTTTATTTATTTTTGGCCTGAAATGACCATGTTATAGACCTTTCGAGAAATTAATACGGTATGTTCTTTGACATCAAACATATCAAACTTTCATGCATACTTAGCTTTGAAGTCTACATTTGGACTTTGCGACTTTGTAAAAATATTTTTTAATGAACGCCTGCACTGAAAATTTAAGTTTAAATTTCAATTTAAATTTAAGGAGGTATAACCTATCGATTACATGAATTTTTATTGGGGGAAGTGGGTTAAAGTCACTATTTATAACAAAGTGTTGTCAGTCTAACTATCATGATAAATAAAGAAGGATGGCTAAATAATTGTCTGGAATGTGTTGCTTGGAATTTATTTCAAGGCCTAAACATGTAGATCAAGGTGTAGGGAAAGGTCGACCAATAATAACGACCTCACTATAGATTTTCAAGGCACCTAAACACTAAGATTTTATTTATTTCATTTGTATTTACAATTCATCAAATTATAATTTCAGATTAACAATTTGTTATTACAATTTTTTATCTTTTATAAAACAAGTTAACATTTTATAATTGCAAATTATTTGATTTGTTGTATAAATATTTTCCTTCCTACTGAGTTTATGTTAAAGTATGAATTTGAATTCCCCCAATACTGATGTACAAAAATCACCTTTACGGAAAACAAGATGTGTTTGTGAAACACTGATGCCCCCGTATGGCAACTTATAGCAAAGGTTAAACTTTCTCAAACGCAAATCAAATATGTTGGTACCCAAAGTAAGGTCTTGTCCCGAGGAATAAACCTGTGAAATATGAAAACCCCGGTAGCAACGATTGAATAGATATGGATAAGGTTATTTTTTTTTTTCAAAAGTATGTCAAAAATCAAGGTCAAGGTCAAATGGTCAAAATTAATGGTGCCCAAGGAAAGGCCTTCTTCCAAGAAATACACCTGTGAAATATGAAAGCCAAAGCACCGACCTTTCAAAAGTTATGACCAAGGTTAAAGTTTGATAAAATTTTGCAAAACTGGGTCAAACTCCAAGGTCAAGGTCAAATATGGTGGTACCCAGAGAAAGGTCTTGTCACAAGGAATACACATGTAAAATTTGAAAGTCATAGCTCCAACCAATCAAAAGTTATGGGCAAGGTTAAAGTTTTTTCGGACAAACAGACAGACGGACGGACAGGGCAAAACTACATACCCCCGAATCTTCGATACGGGGGCATAAAAATGCGAATAAAGCGTTCGATTAATTTATCTTATCCAATAAATTAAAGAATTGAGAACACTTAAACTGGTTGCAAATTGTACATCTAGTAGGAAAATTCTATGAAATATTTTGTTTATAAAACAAGTAGAATCAACAGTTAACACATTAATCACAGATTGTGTTTGCCTGCACATGATTAAAATCATGAAATGCCCAAAAATGTACGATACATGGGAGAATTATTTGAAATCGCAAAGATATAGTCAGATAAGAAACAAACACACTCAATTTTGTAATTCATATTCGATTATCTTGTGATTTATTTTTGAAATTGTGTATACTTCATAATTATATTTAAAAAATCCCTGTGATTCATATTTAATTATGCGAAAAGTTCATATTCGAAATCTTGTTACTGTGTATTTTTAGGGATGTCAAAATATTTATTTTCCTTAGTCGACTATTTGATAACATTATTCGAACGATAGTCGAATATTCGGAGCATTTTCTTAAAATAAAATTTTAATATTTCAAACCTCACTTGTAAATGCAGGAGGTATTTATAACAAAAAAAAACCTTTTTACCTCATATATACAAAAAAGTAACATCAATTGCCTCTGTTGCACATAGATGTTTGCAGGCACCTAACGTGTGGGCAGTGTGTTTATATGAAATAATTTTAGACCGTAAATTATTCATATATCAGTTTTTATCTTAGCAAGCATAAAAAAATTGCCAGCATGATATTTTAAAGTTTACAAAAATAAATGGAGAGGGGGGGGGGGGGGGTTAATACACTATCTACGCCTTACTCTTTGAATATATGTATTGCTAATGAAATTAATTTGGAAAGATATACATATCACTACTTCAAATAAAACGTTTTATCATAATTATCAATTTATCTTTCATGGAATTTTATTCAATTATTCTCCATTGCTAAAGCAAATACGCCGGGACAGTCTATGTGTTTGTTCATCACAAAAATTTGAACATTGGTCATAATTTTTTGTTTAGTTTATCAATTTCAAGAAATATTCATCTAATAGAAAATATATAATAATTTTGATAAGATCGGACTCTCATATTCCACATATGAATTACGAATTACAAAATCTTTCTGAATTTATTTTTTTTATCTTATGACCTTGTCAGTGAAATTTGATATACTTATAAAAAAAAATAACCCTGACCTAAGCTTAGTATGGAATGAGATATATGTTTTCATAATTGACCTGTGCAATACCCGTGACAAAACTATAACAAGTCACTGGAATGTATATAGCCTAAGATCTTTGACCTTGGCATTTGACTTTCTTTTTACAAAACTTTTAATCCTGGCCAAAGCTTTGTACCTGATGAGACAGGACTTTAATATTTTCTTGTACATGAACATAGCTGTAACAAGACCTTCCAAATATACTTTGATTTTTAACCTCATAAACTTGACATTGAAGTTTGATCAACTTTCAAATCATACTAGTAACTCGATCCTTGGTCCTAAGCTTTTAAACAGAACATCCCACTTTAAAAATATATAATAATTTTAAATATGATGAGCCGCCACGACAGTCACAATATGCCATAGACGATTGCATCCCAACCAAAAAGAAAAAAAAAACAACAACAAAAAACGATTAAAGACATTCCATATCATTTCCATGCAGTGAAAATACACTGGGTCTCCTTCTTGACAACATGACAGCTAGGGTTTGTAGAACAAAAATTTTGGCACTATTATCCTACTGTTCTACTGTCATGAACATAGAAGAAATTTGAACTTTGTGTTGGTTGCTCTTCTTTTATGATAATTTTTAAAATTTCACACTTTATTGATTAATTATGTAGATATGTATATCTTCACATTTTCTCTGGAACAAGTAAACAACATAATGGAATTTTTAGATTTCTCTCGATTTATGCAATAGAGGAATCAGGATACATTGGCATTTACAATGTAAAGATAGTTCCACACAATTATAAATCTTTGTCCATTGTTATAAGTTTCTATATCCTTTGCTTCCTCCTTGACAGGCTTACACTACAAAATAAAAAGTAAATGAGATCAATATAACATTAGAGTCAATGCATCTTAATCACAATAAAATCATTATAGTTCATTAAACAACTCATACGTTCTCCACAAGATGTTACGTTTATGAAGACACCCTAAAAAGTAATTGGATTCATTTTCATAATGCAAACTATGTTGAAGGTCACCCTACTAAAAAGATGGGAACTAGACCCTGCACGAGGGAAGAAAAAACCGTGATGAAGGGTATATAGACCCTGGTGATTGGTATACAGAACCTGGTGATAGATAAACTGACCCGAGTGATGGGTCAAGAGACCCTGGTGATTGGTATACAGTACCTGATGATAGATAAACTGACCCTGGTAATGGGTCAAGAGACCCTGGTGATTGGTATACAGAACCTGGTGATAGATAAACTGACCCGAGTGATGGGTTAAGAGACCCTGGTGATTGGTATACAGTACCTGGTGATAGATAAACTGACCCTGGTAATGGGTCAAGAGACCCTGGTGATTGGTATTCAGAACCTGGTGATAGATAAACTGACCCGAGTGATGGGTCAAGAGACCCTGGTGATTGGTATACAGTACCTGGTGATAGGTATATAGACCCTGATGATAGTTATAGATGGTGGTGGGTATATACAGACCCTGGTGATAAGTATAGAGACCCTGGTGATAGGTATACAGAGCCTGGTGATGGGTATATACACTCTGGTGATGGGCATACACACTCTTGTGATAGGTATACAGACCCTGGTGATAGGTATATAGACCCTGGTGATAGATATACAGTTCCTGGTGATAGATTATACAGTCCCTGGTGATGGATATACAGACCCTGGTGATGGGTATAAAGACCCTGGTGATAGATAATACGGACACTGGTGATGGGTATACAGACTCTGGTGATAGGTACATAGACCCTGGTGATAAGTATACAGACCCTGGTGATGGGTATACAGACCTGGTGATAGGTATATAGACCCTGGTGATAGATAAAACGGACCCTGGTGATGGGTATACAGACCCTGGTGATGGGTATACAGACCCTGGTGATGGGAATATAGACCCTGGTGATGGGTATACAGACCCTGGTGATAGGTATATAGACCCTGGTGATAGCTATACAGTTCCTGGTGATAGATAATACAGTCCCTGGTGATGGATATACAGACCCTGGTGATGGGTATACAGACCCTGGTGATAGTTAATACAGACCCTGGTGATAGGTATATAGACTCTGTTGATGGGTATACAGACCCTGGTGATAGGTACATAGACCCTGGTGATACGTATACAGACCCTGGTGATGGGTATACAGACCATGGTGATGGGTATATAGACCCTGGTGACAGGTACATAGACCCTGGTGATAGATAATACAGACCCTGGTGATGGGTATATAGACTCTGGTGATAGGTATACAGACCCTGGTGATGGGTATACAGACCCTGGTGATGGGTATAAAGACCCTGGTGATAGATAATACAGACACTGGTGATAGGTATACAGACCCTGGTGATGGGTATACAGACCCTGGTGATGGGGATACAGACCCTGGTGATGGGTATACAGACCCTGGTGATGGGTATAAAGACCCTGGTGATAGATAATACAGACACTGGTGATGGGTATACAGACTCTGGTGATAGGTACATAGACCCTGGTGATAAGTATACAGACCCTGGTGATGGGTATACAGACCCTGGTGATAGGTATATAGACCCTGGTGATAGGTACAAAGACCCTGGTGATAAGTATACAGACCCTGGTGATGGGTATACAGACTCTGGTGATGGGTATACAGACCCTGGTGATAGATAAAACAGACCCTGGTGATAGGTATACAGACCCTGGTGATGGGAATACAGACCCTGGTGATTGGTATACAGGACCTGGTGATGGGTATACAGACCCTGGTGCTAGGTATACAGACCCTGGTGATGGGTATACAGACCTTGGTGATAGATAATACAGACCCTGGTGATGGGTATATAGACTCTGGTGATAGGTATACAGACCCTGGTGATGGGTATACAGACCATGGTGATGGGTATAAAAACCCTGGTGATAGATAATACAGACACTGGTGATGGGTATACAGACCCTGGTGATAGGTACATAGACCCTGGTGATACGTATACAGACCCTGGTGATGGGTATACAGACCATGGTGATGGGTATATAGACCCTGGTGATAGGTACATAGACCCTGGTGATAGATAATACAGACCCTGGTGATGGGTATATAGACTCTGGTGATAGGTATACAGACCCTGGTGATGGGTATACAGACCCTGGTGATGGGTATAAAGACCCTGGTGATAGATAATACAGACACTGGTGATAGTTATACAGACCCTGGTGATGGGTATACAGACCCTGGTGATGGGGATACAGACCCTGGTGATGGGTATACAGACCCTGGTGATGGGTATAAAGACCCTGGTGATAGATAATACAGACACTGGTGATGGGTATACAGACTCTGGTGATAGGTACATAGACCCTGGTGATAAGTATACAGACCCTGGTGATGGGTATACAGACCCTGGTGATAGGTATATAGACCCTGGTGATAGGCACATAGACCCTGGTGATAAGTATACAGACCCTGGTGATGGGTATACAGACCCTGGTGATGGGTATACAGACCCTGGTGATAGGTATATAGACCCTGGTGATAGATAAAACGGACCCTGGTGATGGGTATACAGACCCTGGTGATGGGTATATAGACCCTGGTGATAGGTACATAGACCCTGGTGATAGGTATACAGACCCTGGTGATAGGTATACAGACCCTGGTGATAGGTATATAGACCCTGGTGATGGTATATAAACTATGGCAATACATAAACAGACCCTGGTAATCAGTATACAAACCCTGTAAAAATAATTAATTTATAAAAGAAATATATGATAAATGCATAAATAAATCAATAAATAAATGCAAAAATAAATCAATCAATCAATAAAGAAATTAATAAAAATACGAATAAATGAACGCATAAATAAATAGATAAATAATGAATAAATAAATAAATAAATAAATAAATAAATAAATAAATAAATAAATAAATAAATAAATTAATTAATAGAATACGAAATAAATGAAGGAATGAATATAATAAATAAATAAACAAATAAATGAACTTCTTCATGAATTAATCAATTACTTAATTATTAGAATAATAAATAAATAAATAAACAAACAAACATGCATACAAATTAATAAATCAATGAATTAATTAATAGATAATTAATTAATGGATGGAATAATTAATAAATGAAGGAAAGAATGTTATAAATGAATTAAAAAAAAATACAAATATATATTTTTTAATAAATTAATCAGTTACTTAGTTAATTAATTATAAGAATGATAAATAAATGAATTAAATAAATAAATTAATTAATTAATAATTAAATAAATAAATAAATAAAAACTAACTGTAAAGTTGATTCATTTATTCTTCTGCTTTTTTAAATAAAAGTTGATCGAATTATGCAAAAATTTCTGCATCTGACTATAGTATCATTCCGCATTACTAGTTTCCATTATTTATTCCGAATTTCCTCTCTGCTGTTTTCCGATCTCGATGGAAAATTATTTCACGCATGCGCTCTGCCTGGTTATAGAGGCTGGTTACGAGATCCAAAACAACATACATATTATACCTCTTTGAAATGGTGCAACCCACGTGAAATGACAACAGAGCTAGTTAACTTTTGGAGGAGGTTTCTCACAAATCTGAGAGTGACAGAACAAAGAACACTTACAAGACAGTATAAAGGGGATAACATATGCTATTTGTACATATGCAATCCATCTTTGATCCAGAAATTAGCTTGTAAATTTGTTCATTATTTCGAGTTTGACAACTGGAAGGAAACCATAAATATGTCAGACAGTGACTCAATTTTTGATCCTCCAGAAACGGTTCGTGGAATGCAAGTTTTAGATAGAAGTTTATTTAGGAAAACTGTATCTATTCCAGGACTTGCAGTTCCTCAGAAGAATATTGGGCGACTTACAAAGGCATTGAAAAATGAAATCCTGCGCTTCAGATCTATTCAACCTGTTGTTGATCTAAATACAAAAGATGCACTTGCAAAAACTCACAAATTAATACTGTTTGATCCACGCAAACTAAAGTCAGTGGATGACTTTAATGAGAAACAGAGGAATATACTTGAAAAGTTTGATGTTGATGTTGGAAGTTTTTGCTTTTACAACTTTGATATGAAGTATGAAAACTGGGGCCAAGCAGAGGTTGTTAAAGCTGTGTTGCCGAAGGAATTGGACACAGTGGCAGGGTTTGCAATAGTTGGTCATATTGCTCACTTAAACCTCAGGGAGGGGACAGATGATTACAAACATCTAATAGGCAAGTTTAATTTATAATGTATAGCAAACTGTTTAGTCCAATTGCTAGTTTGACATAAGAGCAAGTAATCAAGATGCAAGATGAGGATGCAAGGGCCACAGTGTCTAAGTGAAAATGTAAAAGCGACAAAGCAAGGGAACAGTAGCATTAGGGCAAGGAACTGATTAAATAAGAACAATTCAAGTCCTGCTTTTTTGCCCTTGCAACTTTTCTGTTGTGATCTTGCTTTATTGCAGTAAATTAGGGCTGAAACGATAAGCCCCCTCCATGATACGATATGTATCACGATACCTGTGTCACAATTCAATTTTTTTTTTTCGATACGATACATTTTAAAAAAGAAACAAATCATAAGGTTAAAGAAAACATGTATTCAGATTTCAAAAGGCAAGTAAAAGGTGGTGATACAATAAAGAGCACTACTTGTGCTTCTGTAGATTAAAAGAGGACTTTGTTCGTGTCAATACTAGCAGTTACAGCTTGCTTTGAAACTTTCTCCATCGCCATTTTCTCCCTTGTGAGTGTCAAACTATTAAAATGAGGTCGAACCCAATCTATTTCAAGGAGTTACTGAACCCGATTATTAAAAAAACATATCAAACCAAAAATCGAGATAGTGAAGCGAACCTTGAATCAAGAAAATATATTGAACAATATTGATATTTCGGTGAATCATTTCAGCCCTACATTAATTCCTTCTTTTTTTTCCTTCACTTTTTCACTTACTTGCATTGTTTCTCTTGCTGTATCAGCTCCACTTTGTCACTTTAATTGAGGGAGAAGATTTGTGATTATACCAACCTTAATGCAATTGATTTGTCAAAACCTTTATAAGAAAAACTTTAAAAAAAAAGTATTTACCATTTCATTTAGGTCAAGTGATTTTAGACAAACACAGAATTATCAAGACTGTTGTCAACAAATTGAAGACCATTGACTCAGAATTCAGGAACTTTCAGATGGAGCTTCTGGCTGGAGAGGAGGATTATATTGCTACTGTGAAAGAACATGGATGTACATTTACATTTGATTTTTCAAAGGTCTACTGGAATACCAAATTAGGTAATTTGAAAGATGCTGTTATCAAATTATTGTCTTATGCTTCATCCAGTAAAACAGTATTTTTTAATGGGTTATAAATCCTTTATCCTTGTTACGGCATATCAAGATGTTCTACAAGCTTTTCCAGTTTTTAGCTCACCTGAGCCAAAGGCTCAATTGAGCTTTTCTGATCACATTTTGTTTGTAGTCTGTCTGTCCGTCTGTCTGTCCGTCTGTAAACTTTTCACATTTTCGACTTCTTCTCAAGAACCACTGGGCCAATTTCAACCAAACTTGCCACAAAGTATCCTTGGGTAAAGGGGATTCAAGTTTGTTCAAATGAAGGGCCACGCCTTCTTCCAAGGGGAGATAATTAAGAATTCGTGAAAAATTAATGGCATCATTAAAAAATCTTCTTCTCAAGAACCACTGTGCTTGAAAATATGAAACTTATGTGGAAGCATCTTCAGGTAGTGTAGATTCAAGTTTGTTCAAATCATGACCCCTGGGGGTCGGTTGGGGCCACAATGGGTGATCAAAGTTTTACATAGGAATATATAGGAAAAATCTTTAAAAATCTTCTTCTCAAGAACAGCAAAGCCATGATTGGTCATATTTACAAGGAAGCATCCTCAGATAGTGTACATTCAAATTTGTTCAACTCATGACCCCTGGGGGTCGGTTGGGGCCACAATGGGCGATCAAAGTTTTACATAGGAATATATAGGAAAAATCTTTTAAAATCTTCTTCTCAAGAACGGCAAAGCCATGATTGGTCATATTTACATGGAAGCGTCCTCAGATAGTGTACATTCAAATTTGTTCAACTCATGACCCCCGGGGGTGGGGTGGGGCCACAATGGGCGATCAAAGTTTTACATAGGAATGTATAGGAAAAATCTTTAAAAATCTTCTTCTCAAGAACAGCAAAGCCATTATTGGTCATATTTACATGGAAGCATCCTCAGATAGTGTACATTCAAATTTGTTCAACTCATGACCCCCGGGGATAGGGTGGGGCCACAATGGGCAATCAAAGTTTATCATAGGAACACATAGTAAAAATGTTTAAAAAAAACTATTTCTTAAGAACAGCAAAGCCATGATTGGTCATATTTATATGGAAGCATTCCTAGATAGTCTACATTCAAGTTTGTTCAAACATGACCCCTGGGGGTCGGGTGGGGCCACAATGGGTGATCAAAGTTTTACATAGGAATACATAGGTTAAATCTTTAAAAATCTTCTACTCAAGAACAGCAAAGCCATGACTGGTCATATTCAAATGGAAGCATCCTCAGATAATGTAGATTCAAATTTGTTCAATTCATTGCCCCCCCCCCCCCCCCCCCCCCCCCCCCCCCCCCCCCCCCGAGCCACTTTTATATTTAAACTTTTCAACCTTTCAAGACTGAACTGATTTCTGCTTTTTCCTAGCCATAGTGCTCAGGTGAGCAATGTGGCCCCTGGGCCTCTTGTTTTGTTTTTTTTTTCAATGTATATGTGTGTAAGATAGTATGTAGTTTGAATTCTTTGGATGAAGCTTAATGCAAACAACTGATTTTAAGTAGATTTGATTTACATATTTTTTTTATGTAAACAAAGAAATGACTTTTACATCAGTGCATATGAAAGGTTTATATATATGTAAGATAAAAACTCCTTATTAACAAAGGTGAAGGTTATTATATTGTGCATTTATTGTTGTTTCTTGTATTATTGCATTTCATTTGAAAGTTTGTTGCACATTGTTTGGTATTCCACTGTTTTTCCATCTTCATAAGCCAATGGAGAGCAGAGTGGACCAAAAACCCATGGCTTGCAAGAAAGTGGTCTTCACCAGGATTTTTGCCAAACTTATTAGTTTTCTAATGTTTTCCATTTATAAACAGAAAATGGTAAATTTAGACTGTCCATTTAACATGTATTTTCAATTTGTATTTTCATAGGTACAGAACATAATCTAGTGGTTTCTCAGATGCAGGGGGAGGATCTGGTTTTTGATGTGTTTGCTGGGGTGGGACCTTTTGCAGTACCTTGTGGGAAGAAGGAAATAAAAGTGTTTGCAAATGACCTAAATCCAGATTCATATGAGAGTTTAAAACTGAATGTGGCTAAAAATGGAGCTAATTGTCAGAACAATGTTCAGTGTTTCAACATGGATGGCAGGGACTTTATAAAGCAGATATTTTTTAAAGAAATGGAAAAGAGGTGGAGTGATCCGTCACTGGAGGGAAATGTTCATGTCTTGATGAATTTACCAGCACTAGCTGTGGAATTCCTGGACAGTTTTGTGGGGCTTTGTACTCGTTCAAGATCCAAACCAAAAGATCACAGTTGTCTGCCCTTTGTTCACTGTTATTATTTCAGCAAAAGTGAGGATCTGGAAAAGGATACTAGAGAGACTGTGGAAAGAGTTTTAAGTTGTACTTTGGATGAGTTTAAGATTAGACAAGTCCGCAATGTGGCACCTGGAAAGGAGATGATGTGCATCAAGTTCAGAATCCCAGAATCCGTCTTGTTTAGGGGAAATTTAACAACAGAAGGTAAAATTTGGCAAAGAGTTCAGCAGTAGTGTTTAAAATTTCTGAATAAAACATAGGTTTCTGAATGTTTTCATCCCCCAGTAGTTGAAAATTTTGGGGCATGTAGTTTTTGCTCTGTCTGTCTGATTGTTTGTCTGCAAAAGCTTTAACCTTGCCCATAACATTTGATTGGTTGGAGCTGGGGCTTTCATACTTTACATGTGTATTTCTTGTGATAAAACATTTCTTTGGGTACCAACATATTTGACCTTGACCTTGGAGTTTGACCCACTTTTGCAAAATTTTACCAAACCTTAACCTTTGCCTTAACTTTTGAACAGTTGGTGCTAGGGCTTTCATACTTCTCTTGTGTATTCCTTAAGACGTTTTATTTGGTACAAATATTTTTGACCTTTACCTTGGAGTTTGACCTACTTTTAAAAAAACATTAACCTTGGCCATATGTTTTGAATGGTTAGAGCTTTCATATTTCGCAAGTGTACTCCTTGTGATAAGACCTTCCCTTGGGTACCAACAATTTTGACCTTTTGACTTTGACCTTAGAATTTACCTACTTTTGAAAAACTTTAGCCTTGGCCATAACTTTTGAATGGCTGGTGCTAGGGCTTTTACATTTCACATTTGTTTTTCTTGTGACAAAATCTTAAGGTACAGAAAATTTTGACCTTTTTGACTTGACCTTGGAGTTTGACTTACTTTTGAAAAACTTTGCTTTGCTTGTATCATTAAGCTTCCTCCACGATACAAGGTTCATGATTTCAAGGACTGGGTCAAAATCCAAGCACTTGTCATGGTCTCTACAAACTCTGTATAAGGTGGGGACTTTTTCGGGAGTGGGGGCAAATTTTGACCAAATTATAAGGTTCATTTAGTATGAATATCCTTTGCATAAACAAAGAATGAATTTTGCAGTCTTCATCTACCAACATGATGATAGTATAAGGAATATTTTAGCATTTAACCCCCTCACCCTTTCTAACCAAAGAATTTCCCTGTTAAATGTTTGGACGTATTAAAAGTGATGACAAAACTTTTTCACATGAGTTCAGTTTCATTTTTCTTTCAAGAATAAAGTGGCGTGAATTAAAAAAATTAAAATGGCAGAGGAAACTCTGTGTGTGTATGTGTGAGGGTGTGTGTGAAAAAGTTGGTTTTGTCAAACCAATCAAAATGAAAATATAAAGTATCAATTGCAGGATTTTAGATCTTTTGAACTTGGATTTTGACTTGTGTTTGAGAAATTTAAACTTTCCCCAAGAGCTGCCATATGAAGGGTTTCTTGTTTTTAACTATCATTAATGATCTTGTTTTATTTTCCAGAGGATGGCCCAGCAGCAAAGAAAATATGTTGTCACCACAGCCATGATTAAACTTTTTAAAAAGCTCTCATTTTTTTTCCTTTGTCTTCAAAACTTTTAGTAGGAGACTGGACAAAAAAATAGATATTGTCTCATCTCCTTTCCCATTTATACCTGTGGCGATCTATGACATTGATGACAAATTCTTAATCAAAAATCATATGCATTTCTTAAATCTGTAAAGATTTAACATACCTTTCCATTAACTATCCCAATTTTGAATGGAGAAGATTAATTTTTTAGATAACCTTACCCGAAGTTAAACAACTGAGTGTTAACTGCTGTCAGTCTTTGATGGTAGCATATCACAGGGTTCATACAGCCCAGGATCATTATTTTTTCAAACACTTTTCCTGCACTTTTTAAGGCTATTTTTCAAGTACTTTTTGGTCACTTTTGGACAATACAATGATGCTAATTAAAAAAAGATACAATATATTGATTTGACTGGGTCAAAATCCAAGCACTTGTCATTGTCTGTACAAAGTTCTGAGATTAATAATTTAAGGATGTCTACTGAAAAATTTTATGACAATGGATTATTTGTCCTACCATTGGTTTACAGTTAGATGATTCACTTTTGGTAATCATTGACATAAATGACTTAGGATCTGCAAATACCCACACCCATTTGTGTAAACTAACTATTTCACTTAATTACTAGTAATTCAAGTGAATACAATGCAAAATGAATAACAACAAGGGCGCTGTCAAATTGAATAAATAAATAAATATTATCAGCCCAAGATTTTTGCTTCATCTCGGGCATTTGCAAAACAGGAATCAACCAGCATTATTCATATATTCAATATAATCAATTTTGATTAAGTGGTTAAACAATGCTGATTTAACATTAAACTTTAGGTTAAATTATTTCTTTGCACTGCTTTGCAGTTGTCGCGTTGTCGAAAACTCATTTGCAGAGTTGGAATGAATCGTTTGATGAAAAATCAAGACAACATACTCTGTTGACTTTATCATTGTGTAGTGAATAACTGATCGCAAGAAATTTCCATTCTGCTAATTGAAGAGAATTTACATCAAAGAATATTGCAACACATTGCAGTTCAATACAAAATGGAAGTGAAGGGATTTGCACTTCTTACTCAAGTTAGACAACTCAACATGTCTTTTTGAAGTATGCACATACAGCGTTGGTCTCAATCTGGATTATATGTATGTTAATACATATATGGCGTATCTGAGCTAAACAATAAAAAACACGAGATTGAGTGTAGATAAAGACGATATATGTTATTTACGTTCAAATTAAAATTTTCACCGATTTTGAGATTGAATAACCTCGTATTTCCATAGTAAAGACTTCAAACTGTGTCTTTTATTTAAATGCGGAGTCGGTAAATAATCAGTTATTGTTTTAAATTTCTAATATCGATTGAAACGTGATTGATTTAAATTGCGTAATTTACAGGAAAGTCCTATATTAAACAAATACATGTAGAAAGATCTTTTTAATTTTAGTTAGTCTGAACTTAATTATAAAAAATACGCCATATATGGCTTTAAGCAGCACCATGCAAATTGTATATTATAGAAGTCTTTAGTGTCCTTAAACAGATAACCAGCTATCAGCTTAATCTCGGTGGAGATTCGGCTGGGCTAGATATTTGGTCTGACGCCCACCGATGGGCGTCAGACCAAATATCTAGCCCAGCCGAATCTCCACCGAGATTACTATCAGCTAACAATGAATGGGACAGTTGTTAAATGAAAGAGTAACTTTCTATCATCATGTAGTCACCGCTAAACATATATTATGCATAGGTGTTAAATTAAATCCTATGCTTAAAAAAATCGACCGTTTTCTTATTCCCATTTAAATTATGAGGAAAAATTTCCAGTGAAGTTTTGCAACAACGACTAGAGTTCTTATTTCATTAATTTAATTAATTTAGAATTCATAAGATGTTTACATTGTTTATTAGAAAAAAATACTAGAGGAATGGAACCACCCCCACACCCGAAAGAGCCTATTGCTACTTTTGTTACCATGGTTTTCATGTGTATATGCTTTTCATATATAATTATTCTAATTTGGTAAAGAAGATGGGTGAACAAGGCGTGCAGAATGCCTATAGCTTCAGATATTGAAAAAAAAAATCATATTCAATTTGCGAGTTAAGCATTTAAAGTATAAAGTTCTCATTATTGAAATTTATGACATTATGGTCAACAAAACTTTTCTGAGAGAAAAAAAAGATCTTAAAAAAATAAAATGGTATTTGTGGGATTCGAACCCCTAACAATAAAAAATCCGGAGTATTATATACAGCTCCTGATGAATGGTGGCATTTAAATCATGTTTGTGATGTTGTGATATGACCCTTGACTTTTCAAGTATTTCTCGGAAAAATGCGAATGCTTTGTCATAAAAGTGTACTTTTAAGGAATAGTGGGTCTTTACTCCATGTTTTTGTAAACCAAAATATGTATATTTTTACGCAAACCTTTAGGATTAATTTTCAAAAAAATAGAGCGAGAACCCACTCATATCGAAAAATTTTGTTAAAGTGTGAGAAAATTATCCTTCATGAAAAATATTTATCTACATTAGTTCACAAAGCCTGCTAGAGTTTTCACGCTTTCGATTGACAGCGAGAACGGTTTCTGGTCACGTGATGACTAGAGTTTAACTCACAAAACAGTTAGAAAAAAAATAGAGCGAGAACCCACTCATATCGAAAAATTTTGTTAAAGTGTGAGAAAATTATCCTTCATGAAAAATATTTATCTACATTAGTTCACAAAGCCTGCTAGAGTTTTCACGCTTTCGATTGACAGCGAGAACGGTTTCTGGTCACGTGATGACTAGAGTTTAACTCACAAAACAGTTACTATTCAAAGACTGTAACAATGACTTTGTATTATATTCTTCACAACAGAAAGAAAAGTTTTGTGTCGTTTTTAATTCAACAATGAGCATGTGCCTTTTTTAGTCACATCCTTGTAATTGCTATATCTTAATTCGTACGAAAAATACATTCTTAATCATTGTAAAGAATAAGTTTTCTTACTATTTTGATCTTACAAAATTAACACGATCACAACTCTGATTTACGCAGACAATACATTAGTTTCAAGAACAGAAAATATATTAAGATTCAAAAATCTGAGGTAAAAATTTATTTTAAAAAGAACACTATATCAATATGTTTCCCTTAGAATACCAGCGATTTATTGGAGCAAGCATAAGGTTCACAGGTTGCATATGCAGTACAATGCATGTACATGCATGTGCAGATACATGAAGCAGGTTTGTTCACGTGTCTTTATTGCCTGAAACAAGCAGAAATATTAGCCCACCACCACCCTCCAGAAATCTCCAATTTATACTTATCTCTCAAATGCTTAGCAGTTATCTTGTGAAATTTGCATAAGGTAACTCTGGATGTACTCAAATGATCTCCCTTTGAACGACGTAAGTACAACGTTCATTGGAATAAAGCTAATGCAAAGAGTCGGTGACGAGATGGCGAGAGTTCATCTTGAAAAAACACCCAAAGTACTGTTCAAAGACTACAAAATTTCCCTGACATTAAGCCCTTCTAAACAAGCACGATATTAAGATCTTCAAAACAAGCTCGAATTCGTTAAATGTTACAAAGATTTAGTGTTAATGCATTTCAGATTTTACAAATGCACGTAGTATATTGCCAGGAAAGGTAAACAAAATAAATTTCATAATATACTTTACCTTACACTTGAGTCAGAAATGTTATTTTCAGAAATAAATGGCATCAAAATCGACTGAATAATAAAATGGAAGTTTATGTCTATTGTGAATTTTTGAGGCCAATTGAATTCTCTCTCTCTCTCTCTCTGATTTCATACTTGAAATTTTGCTTTGCACCAAAGGAATTAAAGTATAAATGCACACAGTTGAAAATCAATTGCCCTTGAATGAACATAAGAAATATCAAGTAATCTTCATTGGTATGTTGAACAAGTATTTTGCAGCAGTGGTGTCTTGGGATTTGAAGATTTTTATTTGGCTTCGGTTTGTGTCTGATGTGGTTAAAATAATATGTGGATTTCACAATTATTTAGGCCTCAAAATTATTTACGCATGAGCTTTTTGTCAAGATTACGAATTTCACGCAGTCTGATACATCGTAGATGATAAATTTCATAAATTTTATTATTAAAAAAGTAATCGGGGGTTCTTTATTGATTTTGTAACGGCAATGCGAAGTAATGTATGTAAGATGAATGTAAAAATGCAATTTTGTGACCGTTTTCATGAAAAATATTCATCTACATAAGTTCACAAAGCCTGCTAGAGTTTTCACGCTTTCGACTGACAGCGAAAACGGTTTCTGGTCACGTGATGACTGGAGTTTAACTCACAAAACAGTTACTATTCAAAGACTGTAACAATGACTTTGTATTATATTCTTCACAACAGAAAGAAAAGTTTTGTGTCGTTTTTAATTCAACAATGAGCATGTGCCTTTTTTAGTCACATCCTTGTAATTGCTATATCTTAATTCGTACGAAAAATACATTCTTAATCATTGTAAAGAATAAGTTTTCTTACTATTTTGATCTTACAAAATTAACACGATCACAACTCTGATTTACGCAGACAATACATTAGTTTCAAGAACAGAAAATATATTAAGATTCAAAAATCTGAGGTAAAAATTTATTTTAAAAAGAACACCATATCAATATGTTTCCCTTAGAATACCAGCGATTTATTGGAGCAAGCATAAGGTTCACAGGTTGCATATGCAGTACAATGCATGTACATGCATGTGCAGATACATGAAGCAGGTTTGTTCACGTGTCTTTATTGCCTGAAACAAGCAGAAATATTAGCCCACCACCACCCTCCAGAAATCTCCAATTTATACTTATCTCTCAAATGCTTAGCAGTTATCTTGTGAAATTTGCATAAGGTAACTCTGGATGTACTCAAATGATCTCCCTTTGAACGACGTAAGTACAACGTTCATTGGAATAAAGCTAATGTAAATGCAAAGAGTCGGTGACGAGATGGCGAGAGTT